CTATAGGCACGCCAAAATCTTTAAACAAAACTTATTAAATATTTAAATAAATTTATTTAATTTTAATATAAAATCATTATAGTTTTGATTCATCTATTGATATTTGCTAGAATTGTTTTAGATTATGATTCTTTAATTATTATCTCCTTAATATAAAAATGATTAAAACAATTAATATGCATATAATAATTGATACTATTATAATACTTTTGTAATTAATGTTGTCATTAATCTCTTCTTATTAAATGATTAATTAAATTTCAGCCTTTGATATCTCATTTTCAGCTATTAACTTACAATTTTTAGGTTTCTCTTTCTCAAAAAAACTAATCTCATATCCAATTTCTATTAAAAATGCTTCATTCTTTAAACAATCAAAGAAAATATAATGTGTACTATTATAGCTTTTTATTATCATTGCAGGCTACATATTCATTTTAACTATCGGATCATAAAATTCTTAATCCTATCTTAAATCATAAATATAACATTGAAATTGAGCTTAACCTTAAAATATAGCAAATCGTTCGTCAATAAATATTATCTTCTCTATAGAATCTAAACTTCTAAAAGTTCTTATTATCTTTGTTTCAAAACTTTAATTCAATGTATTAATAGTAACAGTTACATAAAATTTTATATTTTCAAAATCTAAGATGCCATTTAATCGTATTTCGAATTTAACTTTCAAAGCATCAACAAGATTAAATTAAAGTGTTTATGCTAACATTGGATTTATCAAAAAGTTATTTTCATTTTGATCTATCAATAATAGTTTTATTTTTTCTATATTGTAGGTTTGCATTTGAACCACATTACCTTAAGAAAAATTATAATGTGTAATGTCAATGTAATTATTCTAAGTCAATATTATATATTCTTCATCTGAATTCTCTATATAAATCATATCAAAATAATTTTAAGTCTCATAAATCTATTTGATAAAGTTTCTATTAACGTATAATAAATAAAATTAAGAGCTTTCTTAGCAATACATTAAATCACCAATTTTTCGAATTTAAATCGTACAACGTTATTAAATATTAAATGTTTTATACTAAACATATGAACCAGACATAATATCATACGTATACATGGGTACTTCACCAGTTAATTATTCTAGCCTCGGAATATAAAATATATCTCCATTTCTTAATTAATACCAATTACACATAGAGGAGGAGAGAAGAATAAAATTTGTATTATTGGTTGAATTATTCTCCTCGACTTTTTTAAAAAATAAACAAAAAAGTGAAATCTGTGAATGATTATTACTCTTCCATTTAAAAAGGCAATCTGAAGAGACACTTTGATTGCATGTCATAATATTTTTTCTTATTAGCAATGGTCCGCTTAAATTAAAAGGGCAATCATCATTTAAATAAAGTTTATTTATTGGTCCTAAAAAATGATTAAATATTTGAATTTAATGTTAAATGTTTGTAATTGTTTGAGTTGATAGGTCGAATTTAGGAATTATTTCAAAATTTTTATTTAAAATTTTCAGAGTCAAATTATACGTATTGTATTGTTTGAAATCTATTTGGGATAAAAGATTTAAATGAACCCTAGCAATTTCGAATATTTTATTAAAATTTAGAAAATGATAAGTAATTATTCTTTATTATGTACTCATTTAGACTAGCATATTATTCTCATCATAAAAATAAATATATTCATCCCTATAATAATAGTTGGGTTTACTTATTGGGATAATGATTCTTAGTTTTTAAAAAGAGTTTTTTGGGGAATATATTAAAATATATAATTTATTTTATCTTTGAGCCACTATCAATAAACTAGAATGACAAAAAGAGTACGTTAAAGGTTAATAAATGGAAAAATCAAATAGATCAAGATTTTATAAAAATATTACCTCATTCTAATTTATTGTGCAAATTTTTAGAGTTAAATCAAATCTATTTCATGTAATACAAAAAGGTTTAAATTTGAATTGAATCCAAGTATTTTCCAGTCAAGAAACTTAATTTTTAAAATATAGTTATTTTTTTGAATTAAAAGGTAGTCCTTAACTTAATATATCTGACTTGAATTATAATCTTTAAAATAAAACAATATATCATCTTTATTACTACTTACAGAATTGTACAAAATTTTGTCATCTGATTAAATTTCAATAATTAAGGGTTCCTTATCTTTCAAAGTTATGAATATATAATTTAAGATTAACTTAGCATTTATTATTTCAGAATCAATTTTTATAAGGTGCTTTTTTATAGATTGCTATTACATGACGATAATATTTATTAGATTTAACATTCCATCTATAATAATAACATAATTTTTAGTAGTAAATACAGATTTGTTTTGAATCTATTCATGACGAAATAATCTTTATTAAGTACAATTATAGAAGTAAATATTTTTCTAATCTTAAAATATAAATATTTTAATTGAAGCATCAAAAAAAAGGATATTTGAATCCTATATTGTTGATTGTTATTGACATATTGATGAAAATTTGATTTTCATTTCATCAATACTTAATAAATGTTTGTATTCAGGAGGCACCTCAAAAAATAATGGTATTCCATCCATGAATTCTAAGTAATCAATGAAAATTTTAATTTCCGATTGTTATTTCTGTGAAATAAGGTATTGCTCATTTACCCCAAAATCATATTCTTATAATAGAGTCGATGGATCTTATTTTATAATCTTAGTGCATTTGATAGCTTTCTTATCACAACAATTAAAATTTCTCAAATTAAAATCATAAATATATTAACGTTATGGTAAAAGATATCTGGATAGATGTTTAATTTTATAAAGTTTTATTTGATTTAAACTTGGGTGGATTGCAAAAAAATAATTAAAGGTTCTATCAAATAAAAGTAAACCTGAAATATCATAATATTAAATGAATTTCTAATTTATGAACACCTATAAGGTTTTTTCAAGCTATAATATTTTAAATTATTCATGGGCATGTACCACAGGAGGAGGTATGGATTTACTAAATGTTATAGTGGAGTATTATGAATAATATTAGAAAGGAATAAGTGATTCTTCCTACCCGACAAACATAGCAACATTACATAATCGATCAAATATCAATTAAGTGATTTTATGTTCTTAAGTTTTTAATAGAAATACTGAAACCTTAATATCTTCAAATTTAACGTACCCTGTGTCAAATAATGCATAAACCAAATACCTTTACATGTTATTCTTCTAGCATATTTGTAAATTCACTAAATTTGTTAGAGTAACATCATTCTAATATCCATTTAAAATCCCTTAATCTAAAATAAGGGTAATGTTGTTATCTAAGGCTCGAAAAATTCTCCAGTCAGAACAATTAAGATAACCTATTAAATAATGAAAGGGCTGAAATTAAATGGATATCGGAGTGCAAAGCTTAAGTTCAGAGTCTTAAGGATAATTGTACAACTAATAAAATTAAGCCTAATTATCTAAATTTACAGATATTAACTAAAAGTTCTCTTCTGAGTAACAAAATATTGTAAAAATTTGTTCTTGGTCATAAAATATTGATTAACATATTTCATTAGGTAAAGTAATGATTTCAGTTTTATTTGAGTAATTAAGATCTATCTCTTCTTAAATAAAGGTTAATCCAATTATACATTATATAAAATATGAAATCTCCTTATTAATGAGATTGCAAATTTGTAATTCAGATTTATTTTAAAAGGATTCCAATAACTTAGCAGATATTAAAATTCCTTCCAATTCATAATGTTATGAATATTCAAATATTAAAACATCATATCCAATACCGTTAATTTTTGAAAAATCTGCCTCATCTGTTTCAATAAGAAAAGCATCCGTAAAGCTTGAAATGAAGAAATTATTTTTGTCTATTGCTTTTTCTTCGCAGGTTTAAGTTTAAGAATTTTTTAGTATAACAAAGAAAAGCAATATTTCTAGGAACATAATGATGATATATTTTTTATAAATTTATTATTGGATTATATCAATTTCCAAATATAAAGAAAATACATTATTTATATAAAATATTGTGTAATGTTCGTGGATCTTTAGATAATAAAGTGAAATATTACAAATTCATATCATTATTAATTTATACAGTCAAATACTATAATTAAAAAACTGAAATATAAGGACATTAATTAAACAATATTGAAACAATTTCTAGTAATTAGCTTTATTTTATAATAATTATAAATAGCAGATCGAAAGACTTATAGGTTTTTGATTTATAAATAAATTAGTATTTAATTTTTAAAACCAATACGATAGTATTTTCTCATAAAACCTTTGCGCATCTCTTATAATTTTTAAAATTCAAAAGTAAAACACTTAATTAAACTAAGTTTCAATGATTATGTTCGTTATAGGCTTAATGAAATTAAAAAGAGATCTAAATTTGCATTATTATTTGTACTTAAAGATAATTCTATTTAGGTCAGAAAGATAAATTCAAATTATTTTAATCATGCAGTTCCAATAATAGCAAAAAAGAAATCTTGATGGTGGTTCTTGATAAAGATTGATGAAAAGTCTAAATAAGATACTCCTCTGGCAAAGTAGCATAAGTTTTTGATACGAAGTATTTGTATTCTTCAATTAACAATTACGTTAATAGAAACTAGATTTTAGCATATCCGCAATCATATAAAATAAAATATGATATAATATTATTGTTAAATATTTCGGTGATTTTATTTTATGACCTTGGTAATATTGTAAATTGTATATGAAGTACTCACATTTTTCTTGTAAATGGAAGAAAGAGGAACATTAAATTTGATAATTTATTATTAAACAATATAAATCAATTTGTTACTTATGAATTTGGTTAATTCAAGGAGTTTCATCCTTTGTATTGCTTTTAACTTTAGACTTTATGTTGTCTATAGAGATCGAATCTATTTGCGTATTTATTGAACTTGAATAGGTTCTAGAATGCTTCAATTGTTCGCTTCCTTTGAACACTTGTTGAAATACCCATTTAAAGCTGCTCACTTGTTCAATATGCTTGTATGATTATGCAAAATTGGATACATCAAGTGTGATTGCTATTCTTTTAAGGGAATTTATTTTTTGCTCTGTTAAACTGAGTTTAATAGCCATTAACATGATGGTAGCTGAAGTAGTATGATCTTTAGATTCAAATACTGGGAACCCAATAGATTTCATTAGCTTTTATTCGGCCTTAGGATAGATTTGATGATTTTACCAATCTGAGGGCCTCTTAAACTGTTGCGTAGATTGTCTACTTTTCATCTTCTCCATCATCATTTTTAATTGAGAAATTCTTGTCTATGACAATAGCCAAAATCTAACTTTTTCGTTCTTTTTTAAGCATTTATGAATTCAATACTTTTATTACCAGGCAAAAAGACACATTTCTCGTTTATTTATTTAAAACTAGGTCTTTCGCTTTGCTTGATATTGGTGTATCCAGAATCAGTTGGTATCACTAAACATTCCACATCTTCATTTTCAACAGGCCCTGCAGTTAACACGATTTCACAATTTCCCATTTCATATTTTAATAGCAATTAAGGAAACAATGAAGATCTCTCTCCAGTTTAATAGCAAAGATTATTTCCCATAATTATTTAATATAAATACATATGTAATAATTTATAATTGAATTTGAAATCTTAAAATATCTATGCCTTTACAGACATCAAATCTTAGCTAAACATAAAACAACAAATAATATTGTATCATTCATCGTTTGGATGACTATATCTTTTCTTAAATAAATGACTATAGAATTATAATATATCAAATTAAAGTTTGTTTTAAATTATTAATAATTGAGTGATGCTACACTTACTATTCATATCGCGAATGTAAATCCTTTGTTTTTAAATCATTTATTTGTAACATATTTAATTTGCATAATTATATAATTTATTTTTGAGAGAAAAATTAGAATTAGAATCAAAATGGCCTAATAATATAGATAATTTGGTATAATAATATTAGGCTTAGTCAAATAAACAAGAATTAAAATGAATATTCTTGAAAGAAGGAAGATTCCTTTGAAAAATCTTTATTTCAAAATTTAATAGTAATTATTACGTATTCATTTTTATTGAGAAACAGATCTGGTTCTTTTTCCGTATTTCTGGGATAATGCTCTATTTTTTAGGTTTTTGAACCTGTCATTTATGTCCATGGTTTAAAACCTATTTCTAAATTGCTAAAAAATTTGGATTGAATTAATGGGCAGGTTGGGAGATTTTGTTACTTTCATCTTGAAGTTATCTGGCGAACTCTTTTTATAATCAATGTTGAAGTTGGTGATAGTTTATGTGGATGCTCTTTGATATTGTTCAATTGATTAACTTTGGTGGTTTTGAGAGTACTCTTTAGTGTAGGAATAATTTAATCTCTTCACTTTTTGAGCAGGTAACATTTTGGATGCCATTTATCTGGGCTGAGGTTCCGAATATTTGTTTGTCATTTGATGTATGGTTTTGCGTAGTAACTAAATTGTATACATGGTATTGTCATTGATGGATTTTTATTTGAGACGAGGCAATAAAGCTTTAGTTTCTATTTTCTATTCTAATCTGATCATTAAAGTATTAAATTTTTATATCTTTTTTTTAAAAAATTATATTATGGCAGACGTTCAAAACCAAAGAGCCTTCCAAAAATAAGAGGGCATTTTCTAAAACTCTAAGAAATTGTTGGCAAAGAAAACATCCAAGGGAGTCAGATATTGGAAGGAAGTAGGTCTTGGTTTCAAAGTACCAAAGGATGCAATTGAAGGCAATTACATTGATAAGAAATGTCCATTCACAGGAAATGTGAGTGTCAGAGGAGCCATCTTGAAGTAAATGAAAATCAATAATTGAATAGAGGCATAGTAATTTCAACAAAGATGACCAGAACAATTATCATCAGAAGAGATTATTTACATTATGTTGCCAAATATAATAGATATGAAAAGAGACACAGAAATGTACCAGTTCACATTTCACCAGCATTTGGACCAGTCAAGGAAGGAGATATTGTTGTTTGCGGACAATGCAGGTAAGCTAATTTAAATAATTAATTAAAGACCATTATCAAAGACAGTCAGATTCAATGTATTGAAGGTCATTCCAAACGAAATCATCGGTAATGTTAGAAAACAATTTGTTTTATTCTGATTCAAATTATATTTGCATACATATAGTACAATATATATATATTTGATATATGATGAGAATAATGATAATAACAAGCCATTTTCCATTGAAAGCATCCAACAATTCATGAATTAAGAGAGATGAGACTATTAAGTAATCGCAATCATTTTAATTGTATTTTTGTACTTTCCGGACCTATTGCAATAATCGAACAGGCTTTTTAAATTTCTTTATGAGAATTGATGGATCTTTTCATCATTTATCAAAAAATTTGATCATTTTTAGAGGTAAATTTAATTTTTGAGAAAACTCTGATGTTTCTAGGATTTACATTTTTTAAAAAGGATTATCATGCTTGAGTTCTTAAAATGCTTAACTATGTTAAATTTTTGTTTATTGCAATGATTTCTTGACTGAATACATAACCTCAGAAAGCTATCTTTAATGTATTAAATTTAGCAATAAATTCCTCATTCTGAATGAGGAATGAGGCTATAAATTGAATACACCATAGATTCAGAAAGTAGTTTTAGTTAACTAACATTGCGAATAGTCTTGCAATCCTACTAATTGGGTAAAATCAAAGATCAAATTATTTAACAAAATATAATTGTTCTTAATTGTAGTAACATCAACTTAATCTTAAACTCTTAAATAGACTATGCTAAACTTTCATATCCATTTTTTATACCATCTATATTCATAAACTAATTTAGATAAATTATAATATGAAGCTTAGAAATAGATAACTGAAACTTTGAATGAAAATTACAATACAAAAATCATCAAATTGAATTGTCAATTTAAGTTGTTAGGAAAGTAGAGGTAAAGCAAAAAAAGGAGGTATTAATAGGATTCAATAAAGTGATTTATAATTGTTGAGTATAAAATTATTGCGTTTATTTTATAGAATCTCTTAGCAATCCATTTAATTGATAAAGCTATTTATGAAATAAAAAATTAAGAAAGGAAACCTATACTTTTGGAACAAGAAAAATTAGAGAACTCTAGACAGTTATTTATGAAAATGAAATAATCTAATATGTTTGTTGTTCCTTTTTATTAAATTATAATGAGATAATAAATTAAATGTAAATCATTTATCATTTCTTTTTGCGATTCCGTAATTCCTCTCCAAATAGTCTATAGTTGGAGTTGTCAGAGCCGCTTAACAAAAATAGGCTATTATTCTTGCCTGCCAACCAGCATATAGACCAGATAGACCATGTTATTGAAATACCAACTAAAAGGCTTAGAACAAGGGAATCTTTCTATATCCCTGATTAGATTCCATCTACACTAGTGTCTTTAATGTATCAATCGGATGAACTATAAATAAATTTTATATTTAACCTGCCATAATATTCAAAACACTTGAAATAAATGAAGCAATCAAGCCATTTACTAAACTTAACTTCTGAGAGGGATCTCCTTTCAGTGCATATCTGAGTTTGTGATCCCAGTATAAATAGTTTGTCCAGGATACTACCTATCGAGTGGTTTGGATGCGAAATCCAACATAAATGGAATCTAGAGTTATGTATTTTAAGTATCCAAATCCAGTGGACATTGTGGTCATTTTTAGTGTTTTAAGCCTCTCAAATGGTGTTATGAGACAACTCTCAAATAATCCTATTGATATGCCAGTGAGAATCTTATTTAGAGAAGAATTATCAATATGGTCTTTAAGAAATGATGGGATAAAGATCATCATTGGCCAACGATAATACTATTTAAACATGTTTCTAAGAAAGCTAGGATAGAAACCATCGTATAATCCCAGGTAACCTCGAGCCCCCTTTATATCCCTAAAACTCTAAAATACAAAATAATATATATACTTATAAATAGGTGATTCCCAATTTCGACTGTTTGTAGGTCTTGATTCTATCTAGGACATGTTCTAGAGGCATCGTTATTGCCACTCTGAATGCTCCTATAAGTTGTGTTTCAATTACAGCCTTCAAGTAATCTGTCATGCCACACAGATATATAAATAAATTTAAACTTTATAAAAACTCAAGTATCAAGGGTAATTATAAAGTATAATGATACATAATAAATTTAAATCCTCTACTAAAAATTACATATTATAATAATTATTTTAATTGAAAATTTTATAATTAATTTTTTTGATAATTATATCCATTCATGATATTTGGATTAATATAATAATAGTTATCCTTTATAACAATGGAGTGATTGATCTCAAGAAATAAAATAAAATGTGAAAAAGTAATTCAATCTATTATATTGGTTCAAATACAAATATAATTTGAGATATTTTACTATCAAATTATGTTTTAAAAAACTAACTAAATATAATCACATAATGATTCTTGATTATGTTATCAGTTCATCAATCATAGCATAATCTATTGAGCAACGATTGGTTTTGTCGAATTGCTTATAAGTGAAATCATTAGTTCAATAATATTTATGTTGTTTTTATGGTTTATGACATAAAATCGATTAAATTGAATATTATAGCATCACTTAAATAACATCAAAATGAGTTAATAATCTTAAGAAGCCATGATTTGCCAATAATTTTTAGAAGATATATTTAGACTTCGAGATAAGAACATATATAATTGAATAGATTCTATTTATTTTAATAATCTTTCGTTTCTTGATAACAGCCGTCTTCATATTGAATTCTGATTTGGAGAGATTGGAATGGAACATATTAAAGATGAATCTGGCAAAAATTAATTCAATACATTAGAATTTGTAATCTAGGCAAATTGCATAGTTTTTAATAACTAGGTAGTATATATTATAATCCAATCCTGATTTCCTACAAAAGAATGAAAGGGTATGTTTATACACTCCTAATTTTAAATTATTAGTTAAAGGAAATTTCTATAAAAAGAGTTTCCAATCATTAGAACTTGATTTACAAAATAGACATTCATTGAGCACATTAATAATCATTTTTGGTCCACCTTAATTGGACACTGAATTGAAAGCATCTTAAGAGATATGGAAATAATTAATATTGTATGATAGATAAAGGACATAATTATAATAGCTTATCATTTATAATAATATTATTAAACACAACTTAATATAATCATAGTTTGGCTTAATGTTCAACTTATTGGTCGATTTAAATAATGATTTTCCCCATGTTCTGTCCAAGGAAGACTCTCTTAAGACCTTAGACAAAATTCTCAACTCCATAATAAATTTCCTCTTAATGTTTGATTACTCCATCATTGACTAATTCGATCATATCTGAGAATCCACTATAAATTTTGGCTTGGTCCTAATAAAATATGATGCCTAATCTCTAATGTTTAAATTATACCTTCTAATTTGACTTGTTATGTGATGGCGGAAGCAAGATTAGTCAATCCACCTCTATTCTTCCAAGCATTGTATGTGGATGTAGCTCCACATAACAAGATTAATCCCTCCTTAGCCATACCTGGTAATACAGCATCTAGGACTTCTTCTCCTGCATTGTCAAAATATACATCTATGCCATTTGGAGCCACTCTTTTTATTTCTTATGTTAATTTGCTTAATTTAATAATATTCCATACTCAACAATTATTTCATCATTTTCTTTGCAATCATTATAAGTGATGCATTCGTCTGCACCCAAACCCAAAACGAACTCTCTCTTCTCTCTCCCACTCACAATTCCGATTGTCTTAAACCCCATATGTTTTGCGATCTAAAGAGCTATCGATCCTGTCGACCCTGCTGCACTTGACACACAAAAAGTTCTCTATCTGTCTTAGGTAGGTATATGATCTTATGGAATGAGTTTCATTCCGTTAAGAGCTGTCAGTCCTGTGACTCCATAAATAGAAAGCAAGAGAGGTATATTTGGGTCGCCTAACTCAAAGAGAGGAACTTTGAATAAAGGCTTGGTTGCTCTTTTACAGAGATTGGCACATTCCAAAACCCCAAATACGATTTGTCCTAAAATTTAGGAATTCTCTTTTACCTACATCCCATTTTGGCTATTTGGTGTCAACCACAATCCCCACTCCAAAAGCAGGCATGACTTGTCCTATTTAGACAGCGTCGATGTAGGTTTTGGCTCCAGAAAGCCAAACTCTCATGACTGGATCAACTCCAATGTACAAAACCTTTTTTTGAATTATAAGAGTACTCTAATCAAGATTTCCCCGTCGTTAAGTTCAGGTACAGGGACTTCTCGAACTTCAAAAAAGTCCATATTTTGTGGGAATGTTTCGTCAGGTCTTTATTTCAAAACAAGAGCTTTGTTCTACATTATATAATACAAATTCAAAGTGACATAAAATTTTCATAAATAAGTTTCAATAATGCGTAAATAAGGTGTTAATTAGTTAAAAATATTATTAATCATATTATATCATCAATAGTTTAATAAATTTCATAATTATTATGCCCAGAGATTAATTAATTTAATTCCTTCTCCTTCAATTTGAATAGTTCAAAAGTATTTGACTTGTCCTCCGACTGCACCGACCTCTTAAAATCCTTGATGGCCTGACTAAGAGAGATCAACTTAGACCTTTTTAAGTTTTGCTTGAATTGCATAGACAACCATAAATACATATTTTTAAAGCATCTTAGCAATTGGATAGTCTTTTTGAAGATTATTATTGAATTGCTTCTGAAGTTCTGATTAAATGACTTGCATGAGATCATGATCAAGATTCTTAGAGATTCGTCCGAAAGACAATTTTCCCAATGTTTTTTGTTTAGTTTGTGTCTTGAGAGATTGCTGAAAGGAGGGAGGTGGTGAAATATTAGGATGAGCCAATATGGGAGGTAACTCATTCCTTAATCTGCCATGATGACTCGCCAATCGTTTTGGGGGTTACAATTATAATTCTTTCCTCTCTTCAGCTACTAGAGTAGGTTATGAGAGAACCAATTGTTCATGATGGGTTTTATTATTGATCATTTTTGAGAGACTTTGACTACATTTGCTACAATCAATAATCGAAGTTGTTTGATGTGTCAATGACCTTTACGTATCACTCATGGGTAATTCGAATAGAGGTTTTTTATGTTTGAATTTTGGGATTCTGGAACTTACTTATCTCAGACCAAACACTTAAAGTTATAATTTGCAATATTGATACTTTCCAATTTTGTGGGATGCTGAATGAATAATTCTCCTAAACGCTATTTGGTATCTGTTCTAGCTGATATGAATTCAGCATGCTCGAAATTAGAATCCATTGAACACATTCGTTTTGAAGATTTTTACTCCATTCTAATTAATATTATTATAATAATATGCATGAATATAACTAAACAATCAATAAAAAATATTCACCAAGGTGATCCAAGCTTTCCACATATAAGCAACAAACAAGGAGTCCTTCTCATATTTGCCTTCAATGCATTGTCTTATTAATTGATCAACCCAATATTGTGCTTGAGTAGTATTTCCTTATGAAAACTCAATTTGTGAGAGTGATATATAGCTCTCTGGTTAGAGATCTGATTAATAGAACTTCTTCTACAATTCTTAATCAGTTAAGTCATGAGCAAGTGCTGTGGCAGCCCCCTCAAATCTATAAATAACTTATTCTTCTAGATCTATTGGTTCAATAATCCCTAGGAATGCCCAGAATTATTTCATTATGTATTACGATTTTGGATCCTCGGGCAATGGTTTCTCATTCTATATGACTGGATATATAATTTATTTAATGAACTCTCTCGTGATGTTCAAAAATCTTTGACATCCAAATTGCTGATCCAAAACCTTCGAAAAACTTACATAAGCTTAGATCAAAGCCCATCTCGCATTGTATTCAGTTTGATTCAGCAATTACTCAACTCCCTCAGTCACATTTCTATTCATCTTCATTATTCCAAGAGTGACTGCAGCTGCATCGAACCCCCTATCCACAGCCTATTAAAAGAGAGACTAAGCCATCTTCAAATCTTCTTCCACTCCCAGACCCTATAAATACATATAACCCAATAGATTGTAAGAATCAGGCATCTAAAATAGCTCGATTGCCTATTAGAGTAAAATCAAAGCCTGCTAGTATTCCCCTTTCATCACATGTAAGAGTGCTTGATTATGCAATGACTCTCCACTCAAGCTCATATTTGAGAAGATATTCATGGCTTGATTTAAGTCCCTATTTATTCCCAAATTATCGTTTCCAGCGTAGAATTAATATGCTAACTGAAGTTACGCCTATGGATCTCCATTATTTGCCTACTACTCTATAAGCAAAAAGTCTTCATGAGTCAATTCGATCTTGGGTATAATCTCATGAAAATACTACAATTCTGCCTCGCCTATTTGATACCCAATCAACATCAATTGATCGCATTATTGACAATCAACTTCACCAAACATCTCATCGAATCTTTGACTAAGTTCTAATTCAGGGATGTTTCTGAATCGATGGCAATTAAATTAGTAATTGAAGTAAGCTAATTTGGCTAGTGTATAATCCAGATTCTTCAATTTTCTAATGCTTCTAGGCACTGGTCCTCCTCTCTTGAAGTTCATCCAATCAATGAAGGCAATATAAACCTAAGTTTCGTATCGATTGCTTAATTTAAAATAATTGTAAGCCAAACTTTCATTCTACTTCAGGAGTGGAACTGAAAATCCTCCGAATTCCTGACAAAAATGCAAATATTCATCTCCTCTATTCTCTGGAAAACCAAACAAATGAAAGTAGCCCAAATTGCTAATAGCGTGAGCATCATTATTGAGCATATAAAATTTCAAGGCACATGCGTTTAAAGCTTCTAAATTGCAAGGTTTTCCACTTAACAAGATTGATGTTATTAGTTCTAACTTATCAATCGAATCAAAGTAAGAGTAGGTCTATTAAAATCGAATGCAATTGTATAATGAGAATAGTTAGAGCAAGAATAACAATGACATGGTTTTTTTATTTAATAAAATTTATACATTTTAAGAATTCAATTGAAATCACTAAAAATTAAGTACTTACTGCTACATCATCTCACAACGATGATCAAATAGATTAATCTAGAAATTAATTATATTGCATATTTTAATAATTCATTTATATAAATTAATATTTTATTTAATGGCATCATTCATTCAGACTTTCTTGACTAAAATTCTACATACCCTATATTTTATTCCATCCACCATCTATGACATGATCATCTCGAATTTCTTAACAAAATACAGCTATGAAAGACTAGTCTTTTATATGAACCAAAGAAACCCCAAAAGGATCCTGGACATCGGAGTGGGAACAGGTTCTCCATTGAAACACATCTGGAATCAATTGCCATAAAATTGCGAAGTCTTGGGAGTGGACATCGATCAAGCCTATGTGTTGAAAGCCAATAACATTTTTAGAAATTATAATTTAGGAGGACGTAAACTGGAAATTAGATATCAAAACTTCTATGAGGTGTCCGAAAGGAAGGAAGGAAAGTTTGATGCCGTAGTCTTCTCCTCGTCTTTCATGCTCATGCCCAAGAGGATTGAAGCTCTTGAATTGGCTAAATCGTTGCTAAATCCAGGGGGATCTATCTATTTCATTTTGACTCTACAACCAGACAGTAAGAAGAATTCAACCTTCCTCCAATTTGTCGAGTACATCAAACCCAAGATCAAGTATTTCACAACTATCGATTTCGGATAAATCACATACGAATAGGAGTTCGAAACTTTGTTGACCAAAACTCAATTGAAAATTGTGAACAAGGAGAAGCTTAATAAGGAGTTCAACATCCCAACCAAGATTTTCAGGGTTTTCGTTTATGAAACCAAGGCATGAGGAATCAAGAGTATTATGATATTTTATTAAAATATTGAATTAAATTCCTTAAAATCATATTATAAATCATAGTTTTCACCCCTTGAATCTGATGTTTTTGCCGCTAGTTCTGTATAGGGATGGAAAGAACACGTCTCCATCTGCTGATTTAGTCACACTAATCTCTTATTTGTTCTTTAGAATCCCTTTTTTAGAAATCGATTTCATGCTCGAAACAGGGCTATCTGGCATTCGTTTTGATATAATAGTGATCTGATTGCCGAACTTGATTAAATCGCTCATTATTTTGGCACTTTCTGATTCGCATCTCGGTCGAATCACAATGGTCTGGATGTTGGAGATTTAGATTCCCTCATCTAAGGTTTCCTTCAATACTTTAACCTACTAGAAATTGGCCTTGATTGTTTGGTTGATACCCTAGATTCCTTTCTCTTTAGAGTTTATTTATACAGAAGCAACATCTTCAAAAAGAGAATCCTTTTAATTCGAAATGCATGAACTTCCCATCTATATTTAATATTAACCTGTTGTCTAAATTTAAAATATATTAAAATTAGTATATTTTGGAGAAAAAATAATTTAAAAATTTCATTTCAGCCTCTTACCAATTTAATTTAATATATATGATAGTTGTTGGAATTATTAATTTTAATGAAATATTAAGTCTAAAAAATAAAATGAAAATTAATTTTAAGAATTTAACAATGGGTACAAATCAAAGTGATGAAAAAAATTAATATTTTCTAAAGAATTTAATATACCAATTATATAAATATATACTAAAATTATGGATTGTATAATTGAGATATAAATAAATTTATTTTAATTTTTCTTGATAAGGACTCCCCCACTCTTTTCTATAGATTTCTTTATATAGAATTATTATTCCTTCATCTCACCGAGTTTGAGTCATCCAATCCTGCATTTTGTCCAATGAGATTTGAGTAATACTAATTTTTCGAAATACATGAAGAAACGCATTTCATAATTGATTAACTTACGCAACAAAGCCGATTGGCAGAATATAAATAAATAAACTCCATGTTAAATAACACATTCAATAGTGTACTTCAACAGAACAATATTAATTATTAGTAAAAGGAAATGCACTAACATTTTTGGAATTCTATCGATCAAAGGAAAGATTCCTCCCCATTAACATACGACTGTTGGAACCAGAACAAATATGATACCATTTTAGACAATGACAATGTTGAATTGCCTTAGCCGCAACTTAAAAATATGATGTATGTTTTTAGATCTATTTTAGGAGCTTCTTGTCAGAAAATGATATTGAAGAACCAAACTCACCCACAATTATGAAGTTTAACAACCAGAACCAAGTCTAAGAAATGAATAGTGATGCAAACATAAAATTGCCAAACATTTAAATTTAAGATCATCAAAAAAAAGCAGACGATCCCTGCTCTCATACTCTGGAACAAAGAAGTAGAAGAATTCGCAAAAATAAGCTTAATCCTTCTTTTAACACAACTCAAGACCCTAATTAGGAATCCGATCTCCACTCTTAATAGCAGGAACCAAACACAACTCCATGCAAATGCACTAAGTCGAACTGTCTTAAACTATATTGTCAATGTTTCCATTAGAATAGACAATGTACAGAACTTTGCAAATGCTTTGCTTGCAAGAATTGCGACGATCATCTCCCAGTCAGACAAACAGCATTAGAAAAAATTAAAATAAAGTCTTAGCGACAGAAACATGATGATGACTTATTTGATAGATCAAGAGTCTGGGGCTGTAAATGTTAAAAATCCCAATGCTAAAAAAACTACTGTGAATGTTATATAAGAAATCAAAAATGCTCGTCCAGTTGTAGATGCAAAGATTGTGCTAATAAGAAAAGAATACCAGTGCAATTAAAGAAAAAAAAGAAAATTGAAACTGTTTCCAATTGATATACTAGTTATATAACTGAACAATTTTCTGTTAACATAAATTATTATAACTAAATATTTAAATACACCACAAATTACTGATTGCATTTATATATGAATTTATCAATCAATTCTTGAAATCTTTTGCTATTCTCTCATAAATGGTTTAAGGATTGAATTTGAAGAGACAAACACTTAAAATGGATCAACTAATAATTTAAAGTTTGCCATCAGATTTAAAATAAAATGTCATGCCAATCTAACGACACCTTTAACTCTTTGAGTTATTATTAAAACATAAGGAATAGAACTCATTTAGATTTAAGAGCAAGTCATAATTAGGTTGTGTTTAAATCATTTATTACATGTATATGTATTCCAACTCATAATTAATTTTCTAATAACAAGTGGTTATTAAATTAACTGATGATTTGGAAACTTAAAATTACTTAGACTGTATAATATTCACAGTAGTTTAATTACTAAGATAAATTTCATAAATTGATCAATAACGATTATATTTAAAATATATACATTCCCTGTTTTATTTGTTTAGAAATACAAAAAAAATGATAATAAAAAATTCCCCAATATTTATCACTGTTTCAACATATAGATTATTAATTATTAATAATATTTATATTTTAAGATAGATGTCAAACAATTCTCCTTCAGAAATTGATGGTTTTAGCATACACTTTGCCGAGTATTTTGGGCATGGAGCATTTTCGTATTGTTATAAATGTTCAAATCCGAATTATCGAATACCTTTGTGTGTTAAAGTAATTTTCATTTTTATCTTAGATTATATCACAATCTCCAAAGACAAATGTCGCCTTCTAGAGAGAAATTGAAATAGTTAAGAAACTAATTCAAGTAGATTGTCCAAATTTAGTGAAAATACTTCATATAACCTAAAGAGAAGATCTATGCTTCATTTTTATGGAATATTGTCAATAAGGAGATTTCTAGAGTGTCATTCAAAAGTATTTAAAGTATGGTAAGAAATTTTAAGTTCAAGAGATTATACAGATTCTTTCTTAAATAATAAATGGTTACAGGGAACTCTATAAATTGGGCATTATGCATAGAGACATAAAACCAGCAAATATATTTCTAGGGAACAATGGAGATTTCTAGGTATAATCAAACATAAAACTAGCTCGCCGATTATGGGATGTCAAAGATCTTAGAGAACCCTAATTTGGAAATAGAATAAAGTCACGCTGGAACTCCATATTATGCTGCTCCTTAGATTCTGATTAATGGAGTTTATTCAAATAAATGCGATATATATAGTGTATTATCAATATTAAATTTAGTTAGGTGTATTAATCTATTAATTAGTCTATTCAAAATTGCCAGTTGATAGTCATGGAATGTTTTAATTTATCGAAGCCTTAAAGAGAACTAAAACTCATAGAATTGTAATAGGAGGTATCCCAAAAGAATTAGGAGGATCTGCGTCTGAATAACAATTATTATTGAACTTTTTAAGGTCTTCCTTAGTATACGAAGAATCCTCTAGAATAAGTTGGAATGAACTGTTCATATAGTTTCCAAGTAATGATCTGGATATTGAATCTACAAAAGTGATTAATCGTAATATATCCTCTTCAGATTAATAATTGCAATCGCCAGTGTCCTCTTAATTGAAGGAGTAAAATGACCGAGATTCTCAATCGACCTCAATAGATAACAATAATATATCACAACCCAAAGAAACTCAATTTTTGAGATCAAACAGCAAACTTTAGAGAGCTAATCAAACCGGTGAATTCCCGTAAGCAAGGTAATAGAGTTAGGATAAACAGATATTTTAACCTTTTCATAGTGATTAACTTCTGTAGAATCGTTAAGATCAAGTAGGAACACCTGTGAGATAAATTAGAATGTAAAAAAAACATTCCCTGTGCTAATTATAAACTAATGTTTTAGAGAAGATTTTAGGTTTCTATCAAGCAAAATGTACTTTTGCAAATCAACTAAGCAATAAAATTGAGAACACATTCAAGTATTTGCAAATTAATAAGCAAACAATTTTTAAATCAAATTACACCATCATTCTATATTTGCTCTAACTCTACTTATACGGGTATCAATACTCATGCTTCTTAAATATCTACACACTTATCTCCAAAAGATTTGACAATTCTTTAAATTTATAAATATCTAAGGAATTGAGTTTTGTAGATAAGAAGAACTTGGATGAAGAAATATGGACCTTCTTGTAATGCTAATCTGATTAGAAGGATAAAATCATATAAAATTACAAGAATTATAAATAGTTGTTTCTAGTAAAAATTTTATTCTATTAGTATTTTAGATCAAAATAAATTAGTTTTAAGAGGATTAGAAATTAATAAAAGATCCTAATTTGTTAGAAGAAATCAAGAAATTCAATTTCTAAGATAGCTTAGGCTCACCTTAGTTATATTATCTCTAATTTAAGAAAATGTTCGGGGAAATGAATCTAAATTTCGATTTCGAGATGGAGAAGGATTTATTAGAAGATCACACAATTGAATTCATGGCCTTTTCAATCAAATTTATAAAAAATGAAGAAAGTAATTAGAATAAGGTTTAATTTTTGATGGCTGACCCACAATAATTAGCAGAATTAAAGGGAAGTAAACAATTGTTATTAAAATCAATATAATAATACTTTAAGGGATGATTTCAGAAAAATGAATAAATAGTTAATACATTTGAAGTATTTATAAATTTTCTATCTATTTAAATCCTATAATTCATTCAAATTTATATGCCTTTATAAATTATTATATTTTTCAATTGAATAAATCCTACATTATAAAATTTAAATTCCCAAGGAGGGAAATGATTAATTTATATTTAAAAAATTTTCATATATATCTATGTCCGTCAACGTTTAAAAACAATCTCTTTTCAAAAGAGCTTTCTTATAAACTGAATTTAAAGTGGCATGTTATCCAAAGATTGAGTTAAATGCATCCAAAGGTATTACTATTTTACTATAATTTAGAAGAAGCATGGTAAATATTAAAATAACCATAAAATGGATTTGAGAGATTTGCACTTAGATTTATATCAAAATAATATATAGTTCCAAGAAAACCATTTGTTTTGTCTGAAGTTATGAAATAAATTTGCAATGAATGGAGCAGCTTCGATTAAGATACTAAGTACTATTATTGCAATTAATGAATTTTTATTAAATATACAAATACTTATACCAACTCTTATAATAAATTTTTAGGACTAGGATGATTGAAGAATTAAGATTAAGCTATTAAGATATTAATCTACTCATTCTCTTAAACTGATTTGTTATTTCATGATTGAAACTTTATTTGTATTTCATATCTATGATTATTGATTAGTAGAAGTGAAATCCACAGGTGGTATGATATTGTCATATTTAAAGCTCAAGAATGGAAGTTGTAAACTAAGATCTTCAAAAAATGGTCGGAAACCAAAAAATTTATATACCTCAAACATCCAATTTAATTTAAAATATATGATTGTTAAAAATTATTTTTAATGTTTTTATTCTCATTTTACTATCTTATAAGATAAAACCTTTGAGACAAAGAGAAATGATTTATATGAATTTATATCCTCTATACAGTATGTTTAATATAGGTTCCTTAAGTATAATTATTGAATTAAGAATAGATTTTCTCATTTCAGATGCTAAGGTGATTGGTTTAGTGTTTTATTAGGTAAAATATTGGAAAATGGATGTTTTGAATGCTAAGAAATTTAAGATAGATTTACAAAAAGTTAGATTTAGTTGAATTTGTTCCAGTTATATAAGGATTATTTTAATCATATATTACTTATTTGTTTATTTCTGTCATGAAAATTAATTCACATCCTGAAAAAAAATTGGAAGGAATACTAAAGCAAGAGATCTTGTTTAAAAGCGCTAAAAAAATGATGAAGGAATTAAGTAAGATTGTTGAAACTATGCTAATTAGAGAAAGACATCTAAGGGTTACCCAGTATGGATTATGAGGAAAGTTCAGCCAATTTATATAATTTTGTTGTCAATCGCAAAGTTGAGAATACTACAAATTACAGCACTAGGGCACATCCTTTAAAGAGGACTCAAAGAACTCTCTCTTTTGAATTGATAAAACCCAAATTATCAGACGGCAAGATTAAGCATTTGCGTTTTGGAAGTAGAGAAGGGAAGAGGATACAGAGCAGGAACATCTAAAAGATTCGAAGACGAAGTTGTTGTTGTTCTGATTGTGGACACGAAAATACCAAAATCATACATCTGATGTACAAAGGTGCAACTTGCCATCGTTAAGTAGAATATGCACATCAATTGAAGAAAAAAAGGGATTTTGCAGAGGATGCATTTCGCTTTTGTAAATATTCCAATAATTTCTTTAAGCACAAAAGATTGCAAGAAAAATGATTCTCATAAAAAATAAATTATATTCTAAGACAATCTTATTTAGGAAACGTTGTAATTCCTGTGATACTCGATTAACAAAAGAGATGCTAATTTAGCATAAATAAGTAGCCTTCTAAGTTCCTTAAAGAAAAGATACTCATTCAAAAACACAAATGAGACATACTGTATTTATCAAAAGACAATAAACCATCAATGATAAATTGTTACTTATACCAATTAAAAATCTAAAAGTGGTCTCAGAAATACAGTTACCTATAAAAACTCTGCCAACTCAACCTAGTAACACGTCCTCAAAGATTTTAAAGAAGAAAAATTTTAATCGTACATATGTTCCAGTAAATCGTTCTATTCTCCCTTAATTGAGTCCTTCAAAATTTACGATCAACAACAATAAATCAATAGATTACTAACTAAAATCTTAGATTAGGTAATAAGTGAAGGAATTGCAAAAACCACTTATTGAATCGAAGAAAAACTCAATTGCAAGTCTCACTAATCCATATCGTAATATCTCTTAACTAGATTACTTGCTGAAAGTAAGAAGAAGACAATGTAATTATTGATACTTATTCTATTTGTTACAAACAATAACAATAATTAAAATTCAATACTGAAATAGGGTTTGTCTAAAAAATTCCTATTGTTTTTCAGACATCCCATTTTGGCATAATCGATATATGTATTTTAATACGATTTCTGTATTATTGATCTCTTAGTCTGTTTGTATTTATGAAAGGACTTTAATCAGATCAATGGGAACAGAGAACTTCAGTAACTCCATGCGTTTGATCGTGTAACAGATAGACCCATAGGATATAGCACCTTGATAGAAGATTGTAGAATCGTAATATTGAGAGACAAATCTTAATAAATGTAGACTGCACTTATAGATGACCTTCAATTGTCTACTAACTAATGAGTTCTGTACAATGTCTGAGGATATATGTTTGTAATATCTGTATTCTAAATCTCTCATTATATAATCAAAAATTTAGAAGTAGTTAGGGACTTCGACCTGAAATTGAAGAGTGTCCAAAATAGTAAATTAGCATTTTGTCAGCATAATTTCATCCATTTTATCGCTACTCAATTAAATCAATTGTTATGAAGTTAAAGGAAATACATCTTTGTGTTTTGAGGCCAAGGCCAAACAGCATAACCCGATTGCTAATAGTTCTTAATTGGTTAGGACAAATGGATACAGTTAGAGAAACTTATCGAGGATCGAGATAGCTAAAAAATAAGTTTCATTCGAAGCACTCTCGTAACTCCCCATCACATAGCCCATCCAACACAACAAGCTGTGTCTCTTGTATTCATCTATTTTGTGCTTCTTTAAGGACTCAGTAAACTATGGAAATTTAAGTATCATTTACATTTTTATGCTCTACTTTCAATGGGTAAGAAAAGTGTGTGTGTTGATTTTAGAACCATAAGAACTATTCTTGAATTGTAAAGGTGTAACTTTTAATGTTATTTTGGTTCATAACTTCAAATTCCTCCTCATCCAAACAAATCCAATCGAACTTGAAATTACTCATGTCCAAGTAATTAATCTGGATCTTTTTCTTTGGACTCTTAGGAACCTCAACAACACTCTTGCCTTTTTAATTTTAAAGATTCTTTTCTAAATTTGTGATGTCTAAGAATTACATTAAATTTTTTAAATTAAAATTACTTCAAGTTTATTAATTATTATTAAATTATAAATAGTTTCTGTTTATGCACAAAAATTACACTAAGAACGAAGCAAAGAACAATTCAATTGATTTTTGCTTACGAAAACTATTACTTCAAGAGTTACTTGGCTAACAAACAATTGTGCTATATTAATTACATTCAGAATACACAATTAATAACTAAATCAAAATTTTAATAATGGTAAAAAGACACGGCTTTCTTAGTAAACATCTAATTCCTCGAAGTCAGAATTAAAAAAATTATTGTAAGAGTACTTCTCATCAATTGATTCGGTATCTTTTGATGATGCATTCTCTTCGCCAAAGTGTTATCTCTGGGCTTGGTGTTTTTAAATTAATTTTTCTCGTTTTCTTTCGTACTACTTTAACCTTTCAACAATCAAGGCCTTTCTGATTTTGGATTTATTTTTTCTTACAAATTGTCTCAAGAATCCCATCTTCTTTCCATAAAAATCAGATAGAGGAGAAGCAATCAAGCCAACTTTCTGAAAGATTTGAGTGTAATCCTCCAAGGTCTTTTTGGGAATGCCCACCAAATTAGCAGCCTCGTTCAAGGTATAATATTGCCTTTCTCCTTGTTCGTTGATTAAACCTTCCAGAAAAATTTTCCTCCAAATCTGAACTTTGTTAAAGGCGCTTTCAACTAGTCTTTCCTTAACACGTTTTGAGTCAATATCTTAGAAGTCTGTAGTATACATAGTAATTTAATGCAATAAATACTCGAAGTGTGCTTTTTCTCTTAAAAAAATATAGAACAATCTATATTATCAATTATTCTGATAATATGGAAATAATCCATCACTTTTTCAACAGACCTGTTTTCTTTAATACCAATTAACAGAAATAAGAATTTCAAAAGCAACTACCCATTTCCCATAGGCTGTTACTCAGTTCCATAGAATTTATTGATACACCGCAACCCTTGAAAAAATTGATCTCTTATTTGAAGACACTTCAATTAATTCAATATTTTCTAACTGTCCATCTCCAGGATCTAAATATACCCTATTATAATTCTTGATAAATGTATATTTTATAATATGATGAAAAGAAACATTCAATAAGATGGATAATATATATGCTCTCTATAAATTATTTTAAATATTTATCCAATTGATCATTCAATACTCGAAAAAAACTAAGAACCAGCATCACACACCACCACTTCAATTTAGGTTCTTGCTTAGTTTCAATTTATTCTTATTTTTATTTCAGTTATTAATCTCAAAAAAAAAGGTTCACTGTCTACTCTTATATCTTTTGGCTATTAAATTGGATGAAATAATTTGGGATCCTTTTTCATGTTGATTGTACTATTAGGTAGTATTTCAAATTACGATTATTTTAATCAATAATTATAAATAATGCTAAAAAAGATTACATATGGATGTCAGATATCGTTGTCGTTATGCAGTGAGAATGAGTCCTACCTTTCAACTGATTAACTTAATGATAATTTATTGGTTCATAAGGTCACTCATCAAAATGAGATTCTGAACTTTGATAAATGCATTTTTATGATCATCCCTGTTCTCAACCATTTTTGGATGGCCAAATTGGTAGAGATAGTCAAGAATGACATTGACAAAGAAATCAATAAAAAGGGTAGTGTAATTGAGCATCATAGAATCCACAATTCAATCTAGACAACAGACTATAAAATCTTATGAAAACAATCTTGATGAGGAGATGACAGCCAATATCTCATGTTTCTAAAAACTGCAGGACACTTCACTACTATTTGGAACATCCACTTTTCATTTGGTTCACAAAGATTCTCTTCGCTTTGTGATGATAGATCAAGAATCAGTTCGATTGGTTGAATTTCCATCTGACTACACTGTATTGCACTTCCAACCAGTCTATTAATATCAGAAACAGATCTCATGCATCTTGGATTCAGAGACTGTGACTCTGTGTGCTGCAAAATCCATATAAAATAGGAAATGTTATTTGAGACTGATATCCAAGGATTCAGAAGACCAGGTGTCCTCCACCTAGATCAATCCAACATACTTAAAAATGAATTTATATAGCAGTCTACAAGAGAATGAGGATTTGTTGTATGCAGGAGATCTGATTGCAATCAACCTAAGTGAAACCAATGTAAACCATACATCATATCATTTTTAAGCTGTTTCTGAATGCCAAATAGCCGTATGATACATTTCATGAAATAGCTGATTATCAGATACAAAGACTACAAAACCAATTGAGTTCATTGACACTCACCAAAATCATCTACGAGGATCTCAAGGTGACCTTCGATGACGTAATTGAAAGAATCGGCATGAAGAGAGTCTAGAAACTTCAGAGCAGTTCATATTGGAAGATAGAAAAAACAAATGGACAAGGAGGATAGATTTAATTTTATCAACTGGTTAGATTAAAACATAATCAATCCTCTCGATATTTGGAGTTGTTGAATGGTGATCCCATCTTAACTAATTAATTGAGTAAACTCTCCTTGTTTATTTTAATTCCCATAGATGAAGGATAAAAAATTTTAAAAAAGGACTCTTATTTCAAGATTTAGCATTATCAATCTGGGATATATTTGGAAGATTAGAAAAACAGACAAGAAAATAGAAACATTAACATCTTGAGATTACGCAAGATTGGAGAATACGAAGACACTGAAACCAAATTACTCTAATATTCTGTTAAGATTTTTATAGAAGCCATAGAATTATTGCAAGACATTAATGATTAAGAAGTGAAGTGTTCAGTATACGATATGAAAAATAAAGAAGGGGAGATCAGATTAAAAATTTAGTTTTACTTCCTATATCAAAAGGTTAAGCAAATACTGGCCTATGTGAGTGACTTTCTAATGAACAAATTGATTTCTAATCTATCGCCTAATCAAAAATATAATCAAATCTCATTCATACGATAAGATGTAATAATGATAAATCTATCTATGTAGTCCTTCAGATAAGAACCGTTGTTTCCGCTTATTTGTCTATTGTTTTAAATGCTCAAGCCAGAATTGGTTGATTAAATAGCTCAAAATGACAAAGACTTTTTTGAAAAAGAAGAGAAATTCTATTAGATCACAAAAACAATCAGCAGAACCGACAGAGATGAAGGAAGGATCATGTATTACTACAGTTTGCAACTTAAGATGCTCTAAGTATAATTAATTGAAACTATTAACATCGTATTTAATTATCAATATAATTTAATAGATTTGTAAAGACAATATCGAAAATTAGAATTGCTTTTTCTAGTTTCTGCCTATACTCCATAAGCACATAATACTCTATCCTGAATTCATCGCAGTGTTAAATAGTCTAGTTTGTAAAAACCGATTTTTTCTAGAAGATCTCTCCAAAATTAGAAAGAGTAAAAAGTACACCTATAGTAGTTTCATCCAACAAACCAAATAAAAATGTATTCATTCTTGAGTGGTTGACAGAAAAGGTCTCTTTAAATTCTGCAGCCAAAACTGAAATCCCATTTAGTCAAAAAACTGAAATTTTGCATTTATTAGCCACCTGTTGCTCTTTCGGAGTTGAGGCGATATTTGCAAATCAAGAGATGATTTTCAAGATGTTGATAAATAAGAAGAAGAACATTACCTTAATGAAATGTGTCGTAGACGAGGAAAAGAACATTATTATTGCTTGTAATGGCAAGATGGGCCCTGTTTCTATTAAATTTGAAGCCTATTTTGAACCTGATCATAAGAATTCCAATCCTCATTATTAGGAAGAACTCAATTTTCTAAAGGCTCAATTCTTCTTATACTCTTAACTATGTTTATAGAGAAACTATGATTCTATCAAATATTTTGGTGAACAATTCAGTGACAACTCCCTTGTTCCCTTATTAAATAATAACTTGATTGATCCAGAGTTAAGAGCACACTTGATTGCTCTCTGCAAAAACATTTACTTGGACAGAGACCCTTTAATCTCTCAAGCAAAGCCAACCCTTATCAGAGTGAACATTCGTAATAGTTAAACATTCTTTGATAACATGTTTTATGATGACGACGACGAAGTGTTCGATAAGGTGGAGTTAGAAACGAAATCCTTGTATTACGTAATTAATCAACTCAAAGAGATAATGAGTTCTTATTTAAAGTAAATGGTTCACAATCTTCAAGAGTAACAACCTCTAAAAGTATACAATCTTCTCACTTTATAAATTATGAGAATCTTATTCATGTTATTGCAATTTGGATAGTTTTCTAATATAAATGATGAGATGGCCAAGTATAGGATGGACGACTCCAAGGAAATTGAGTATGTTTTGGAAAGATTGATATAACAGTTGTCCGTATTACTGGAGTATGACTTTGATTATTAAAAGGCGAATTCTATATTGAAATAGAAGAATGTCAATGAGAAACTAGCAAAGATCATTTAAATTTAATCATTGAAGTTCTTTAGGAAAGCAGAAAAAAAGAAGATCAATAAAAGCAGCATTGAGACAATTAGAGATCCTCTCTTAAGAAAACTGCAGAATGTTAAACGAGTTCTGAACAGATTTTACAATAAGATCTTTAGTGCTTAAACGAGTACTTCAGATTATGAAATAGAAATTAAAATAGAGATTTGCAAAATATTTTAATATCTTTTGGATATGAGATTGGACTTTATGATTGATAATGCAATTGCTTTCTTCACCAATACATTCTTGCCTTCTGTTTCTAAGAAATTCATACATTCTGATAAATAATCGCTGCATGGTTCAACTGAGAACAAGTCCAATTTGTAGAGTCATACAGTCTATTATAAAAAGAAATATTTGGCTTAATTGTAAGGACTATTGAGGGAAGATCTCCTCAAGCCAGGATAGAAGAAGTTTCAATAAAGAGGAATTAAGGATCATGTTCAGATCAATAGGATTAGACACTTTGATAGGATTATTGATAGACCATTTATAGAGGTGTTATTGAAAGGATTCTACTTTGCGAACGATCATGTCCTTTAGAATCACATCGTAGAATTGATTGAAAGATTCTAAAATCAAAGATCCGAGTTTTGTAATTACTTAAAGCAAATCTAAATGATAATGACAAATAATTTGTAGATTATCTATAGGACGATGTATATTTTGGTTTAAAAGTTGAAAAACAATGTGCAGAATTCCTAAATTTGGTTACGTCTCGATATTCCAATAGCATTGAATGAAAAGAATGAGCAAACAATTGAAAAAGTGTTAGAGAAATTGGTTGAGATCTATACAATAATATCTAAAAATGAAGCCAATGAGAAATCAGTTAGAAAGATATTCTTAAATTGTGGTGGTTACTAAGTGGTCCACCAATTAATAGTTAAATGCTTGTCAGTGGTTGATGTGAATATGGACATCTTCGAATGCAGTTTTGAATTAATTGATTATGATGAGTAGAAATAGTATCAACAAGAATTGGCTGAGAAGATTCTATCCATCTTTTAAGCATGTCTTCGCTTAGTGGGACTATCAGTCAGAAATGATTACTAAAGCTAAGAGTAATTGTGTATATGATATCATAGGTTTGTGTTGATCAAACTAGCAAGGCCCTTATTAAGATACAATATGGTGAATTTGGGTCAAATCGAATTAATAAATGAATTGTTTTCCAATAATCAAAGCTTGTTACCTTTAGTGAATTCAAACGATTTGTATCAGTTGTTAGAATATGTCAAACTCTATGGAAAATACTAATCCTTTATAGAACTCTTCACTTCAATTGTCCGAAACAAGTAGTGCTAATCACTCTACAAAGACATCTATTAGGCCTTAATTTAATGCGAATCAAAGGATATTAATGTAAATCAAATTCAATTATATTATTCAGCCATTTTAGGAAAACTATAACTTTTAGAAATTCTATCCAAATTAACCAAACATTGAGGAATTTCGATAGAGTTTCCTTAAAATAATAGAAGTTGTTTTAATTCATGATGATAGAGCAGCCTTATCAGTCAAAATGCTAGAAGTGCTTGATTTCACTGATTTGACATCCTATTTGTTAGAAAAGACATAAGAAATGAGGAATACTAACTTGGATGTCGAATTATAGGATAGTATAACTAAGGTAAATTAGTGTAATTTGATTAGATTAAATTTTTCGTCTGCAGAATAATATTCACTTTATCAAAGAAGAAGAAAAAATTGTTGTTAGTTCATGAGAGTTATTTTTTACAAATTATCAGTATCGAAGCATCGTGGCTTGAGTAGTAAGAGTTCTTATAGCTTTCTGCTAAGACTTACATAGTTGAAGCATTATTGCCTTTAATAAATACGTACAACGAATATGCCAACAAGAAAAACTCATTCAAAACAGACATAATCTAAATTAGATGTTACGCTTTGAGTGTTCTAAAACAATATTCACAATTGACTAAGAATGGTGATACTTCAACGAAGTATTAAGTTCACAGATTGATCAAAGCCTTTGATATGAAAGTTCCAGATGAAAGGAGTGAATCAGATTCAGATCAGGAGAGATTGATGAGTGATATGTACGGAGAGACGTTTAAGACTGAAAAGTTTGAGGAATACTAAGCCACAGAAGTAAGTGATGGATCAGATCAAGGGTGTAATGATTTAGAGTTATGGGAATTCTTTAAGAAATTATTCGAAAACAATCCGAAAATAAAGGAATTCACTGAAACTGATCAACTAGCTTAATCCATTTGGTATGTGAGCGACATGTTTACAAATGATTTTTGGTAGGACAAAGAGAAAAGATAATTGATTCTTACAAGTGATGATATACTACAAAAGGTTTTAGGATTTTTATAATTTTGGAAGTCAAACAAAGCGTCTAAATAAAGTGCCATATTTGCCATAAAATTGTTAATACAAATAATAAACATAGATGGGAACAGAATTCAAATACTTGATCAATTAGGAGGCACAAAAGTCATACTAACCTTAATTTGGGAAGAGAATGAAAGTGAGAATGACTACATTATTTAATTATTGATTCTCATTAAAGGACTCTTGGTGAGTAAGCATGTTTAGAAGACAACCTTAACTTTTTTGAGTCTTGCTATTTCTAGTGACAAGTTCTTTTAAAAAATGGAAATGCTATTGACAATCGAGCAGGATTTAAAAATATCTACTTTGGTTTTGGAAATCATGGAGTTGATGTGTAATGACAATAACAAGGAGTTACAAAATTTGATCCGTTATTAGAAAAACAATAAAAAGTCATATGATCTCGTTCAGTAGACAATCAATTATCTGTGCTCTTTAGACATTAAAAATAATTACGAGTAACTAATTTAATGTTTGAAGACAATCAAGTCTCAAGCGTATGCATGTAGACCAAATCAAACATTAGTGGCAAATTCTAAATTTGTTGAATTCTCTATTCGAGTGTTAAATGACTCATCATTAAAATCTTAATTAGATGATGAGCAAATTAATTAATTGAAACATTAGTGTTTAATAATCTTGTTGGTGGTGGCTGAGATTAATACCAAAGATGATTATATTGTACAGAAATTAAAGAAAATAGTTCCTAAGACAGTGTTAGTATAACATTTTGTAAATGTATATCATTAGATGGTAAATTGTTATGGTGATGTCAATTACTCGAAATTAATATTTGAAGATCAACCAAATTTCATTATGGAAAGTGGATTCAATGCTTACATTTTATATGTTATCCTTTCAGAACTGAATTATGTTGTGGAGGACTTGGAAGAATTTAAAAAAAATGAAGATGAAGGGTAATTAGTCTAAGATTTCCTGAGGGATAATATATTAAATGAACTCTCAAGATTGGGCCAATCCTTGATGCAACATGGATTGGAGTAGTTGAATCAAATCAAATAGTAATTTAGTGGCCAAGTTGAAGAAAAGATCAACATAATCAAAAAGCACGAGATGATCCACAAGGCATTCCAATTTTACAAATTGAATACATTACAAGTTGAATTTGTTAAAGATGATGTACTTTACCTGACTTATTTTCCAAAGTTGCCATGCTTCTACTTATTAAGATAGGAAACCAAAAAGTAATTCTTAGATCAAGCAGATAGAACAAGCACTAAAACAAAAATAATTAGTCTTGTTAACTTTGTGGATTCAGCCTATAAGTTTATGCTGCATTAAGAGGCTCTGAGAGACTACTTTAAGAACCACAAGTTCTTAGAGATATTGGCTAGAAGAGGTAAACTCTGGATGCAACTTGCATTCTACAATGGATTCTTAATTAATTTAATCATAATTTTAAGTTATACTCAATTAGCATTTCCTCCTGGATACTAACCAAAAGATCCTGATGTAATTTAATATTACCGATTGAATGAACCAAGATTCTTAGGAGATTATAATAACACAAATACTAAGTACTATTTGATGATCTTGGCTTATTTGAATTTGGCTATAAAGTAATATTCCTATTATATAACTTATAGTTTCATGGTTTTGTTTTTTTATCTCATTGACAAAGCCCCTGTTAAGTTGTAGTTTGTTTGGAATGCTTGGCATGCTTCTTCACTTATCGGACATATGATTTCTGGGTTGATTAAGGTGGTTATCTCAATCATAGTTCTGGTCATTGATTTCGACATAATATACTACATTCTTCAGATAGCGTTCAATATCATTGGAATAACAATTCATCCATTTTTTTTTGGCATTTCATTTGATCCACATTCTCTATTTGGAACCACTTATACCCATTTTAAAGGCTGTTTGGTTGGCTAAATTTAAATTCATTGGATTATGGTTAATAATAGTGCTGTTTGAATACTGGGTAGCCTTGATATCATATGTGTACTTCTTTGAGTTTTTCGTTACTGACAAGAATCAGAATCTTTGCGATCATTTATGGCAATGTGTTTATGTGACCTTTGATTGGACATTTAAAACAGATGGGTCTGTTGGAGGGATGTTCGTGGAAAACATAGGAGAATAGGCTGAGGAATCGTATCTGAGCAATCTCAATAATTACTATGGAAGATTCTTCTATGACAACATCATCAACGTAATCGTAAAGTTGTGCGTCATTAATGTGCTCCTGGCTGTCATTATCATTTCTTATTCAGAATTGAGGTCAGTCCAAAAGTAAAAGGAGAAGGACTAGAATCACAAGTGCTTCATTTGTGGAATTGACAGATTGGTGTTTGATAAAACTAGTCAAAACACTGGGTTTTGGCATCACATTAAGGTTGAACACAACATTTGGAATTACCTATTCTATATGTGCTATTTGAGAATGAAGTAATCCAATTTTAATAATGGTGTCGACAATTACATACGAGCAAAGCAATTGGCTGGAGATTACTCATGGTTTCCAATTAGAAGAGCCAAAGCCTTGTCTGTTAAGTTTTAAATGATTGAGAGTGTCAAACACAAAGTAAATTCTTAATTTAACATTAGAATGCAACTTCAAAGTCTAAACTAATCTGCATGCTCCACTCCTTAAGAAGACTGGTTTGGATTCATAAATAATTCTGATTAATTACTTGATATTTAAATGTATAAATATATGTCATAAGTCGTTTGAATAAAGACATAACTTTTTCATTCTTAGCTTTCTTGCAAATAATATTCAACTTTCATTTGATTCTTGGAAATCTCAATACTAGGTTTTGAAATCAATTTGTTATATTCTAACGAGGCCCTCTTGAAATGCCCAGTTTAAATGCAATAAAATTTGTATTGAGCTAAAAATTCTAACTTATTCCCATCATCAATCAATATCCTGGATTCGCAATTTGGATCCAGTTGCAAATTCTCAAAAAACGAGCATTTGATAGTTCTAATAAGTTTTCTCTACTTATTTAAATTAGAAAAGATGCAGTACATGCTTTCGAAAGTTTTAAATTGTCTTCTTACTAGTATGTAATGCTTTGTCACATAATGAAGAGTGTAAGTCTGATTAAGGTAGAATTAAGTTTACATTTTAATTTAATCATCCTTTATTTGCCATCTCTTAACATAATGCGATCCAAACTTGGTAGAAAACATTACGTTGTTTGTTCTTGAGACAAAAATCTAACTAAAATTTGCTTTTGATTAGTAGATAGTAATGATTTATGTTAGCTTTTTCAGGCTATACAATACAATTGTGCTCTCATGAGTGTTCGCAATTAAATACTGAGAATCAGAAGTAATTGCTCCAGATTTATAGTAGAAACTCCAATCTATTTGTTGATTTTGTATCAACTTCAAGTTTTGTAGTTCATAGATGGAAATGAATTTTGAGGAGATTATAACACACAATTGTTAATTCCTCGAAAAAAGACATTCTTTGACCAAGTTGATTTAATAATGACTAAATAAAAAAGCATAATCCTTAAGAATAATGAATCCTGCAATTCCTCCGGCTTGATTTAAGTCTTTGATGACAGTGTAGTTTCCTATTTGATTGTATTCAAACCTTTTACATAATATTTGAGTTTGAGAGGCATTTTTTTGATGATCACCATTTTTCTTTAAGGTTGCAATAGTGGCATTGGGACTGTAGATGTTTTGATGTTGAGATTTGATATCATAAAATTGTATGGTATCTAGGTTGATGAGATTGGTTTTCTTGATAAGCATTAAAAATAGTAAATTATTTTTATAGAGTTGTAAAACTTAAATGTTAATTAATTTATTTTACCTTCAATTTCTTTTAGAATTCTTACATTATATGATGAAATGATTGAGTGGGAATTATATATATAATTTTTCTATATTTTGTTTGTGAGTAAGAGTTTATGAGTTCATAATTTATTAATTTATGCAGATTCCTCGCGATTAAATGAGGAATGGTTTTTAAAAATACAATCCAAATGGGAGAAGCAATGGAAACAAAAGATAATAAATGCAGAACTTCATTGCTCCCAACATACCCAAAGGAATGTTGAGCATGAATAGTGGATCGAAAACAGAGAAAAATACGAAGTTGAATGACACAGGTAAATTTGGTCGTTTTATCTCGAGAAACCACTGATGTGACTCATAATAACCTGGGTTTCAGTTAACAATTACAACAATAGATACGGGTTGAACATTTAGATTTGGGATTCTTCAAAGTCTAGTCTTGCAAAATCATGGGCAATCACAATCACAAGCATTGTCCATTCTTTCATAATCCCAAGGATCGTAAAAGGTACTCGTCTTATTGAATTACTGTCTAGGATTGGCGTGGAGTATTCAGCCGAGTTATGTCAATATGTTGACAAAAATTCAATTTGTCCTTATGGAGACAATTGCAATAGAGCTCACAACAGAGTGGAGTAGTTGTATCGAGTTGACAATTACAAAACCAAATTTTGCTCCTTCTATCCCCATAATATTCATTAATGCGATTATGGGAAATTCTGTTCCTTTGCCCATTCAGAAGGTGACATAGCCATAGAACTCATTCACAATCTAGAATACGACGATGATTTCTTCATGTTCTATTACAAAACAGTGTGGTGTCCATTCAATCTGACATAACATGATAAATCCCTATGTGTATATGCTCACAACTGGTAGGACTTCAGAAGAAAACCACAAGGATTCAATTACATTCCATAATCATGTCCCAATTGGGAATACGAATGAATACATTACTGAATACAGTTATGGATGTCCAGATGCTTTTAGTTGTTGCAAATGTCATGGGTGGAAAGAACTCGAATATCATCCAATACTATTTAGAACCAAGCAATGCATCAATTAAAATTGCAACAAACAGGATTGCTCCTTCTATCATCACCAATAGGAAAGGAGGTAGCCTTTCTAACTAATTTAGATATGTCGAGTAATCGTCATAAGTTAGAGTATTCAAGATTGTGCCCAGAAATCGCATTGTCTAGAATGTCTTTAAGGTGCGAGACCCAAGTTTGCAGACATCACAAAGGAATTAGAAATCTCAGGACAACAGCACTAGTGATCAATAACAGTGGCTGGGTCATAATTTGCAGAATAGTTTTCAATATGAACCGGAGTCTGATACGGTTGTTGAATGTAAGAATAAGGGCGAGCACTATCAAACAGCTCTTATTTCCATTCTCGAGCGAACAGGTACATGTCTTAATAAGTCTAGATTCTGAAGAGTTGAAGGATTTGATGAGAAAGAAGTCCTTCTCCGTTGATAATATTGATGACAATGAATAGATCAGAGGGGTCTTAAGGATGATAGACATGGATTCTTGACGTAAATAACAAATTTAATAGAAATATGCTATAATGCTTTCTTCTTAAATTGTTGTCAAATTTTATATAGAAAAATAAGGAAATTTATCATATTTTATTTATATTTTATGCAATAAAAACTTTCGAGAGCCTAATTGATTGCGCATTATCGATAAAAGCCTATTGAATAAATGCCTGAAACCTTCAAGGCATTATGTCAATAGTACCCACAGGCTTTTAAAGCTCTGAGTCAAAATCCCTATTAGGCTCGTCCAATACGTGGTTTCAATCAAGGTTTGTTGATAAATTTAGATTAGAAATTCTCGTGTATTCAAGCAATTGCGCAACTCCTCTCAAAACTGCTGGCATATACTCGAGTGGAGGCGGAGATTTATTTCGATTTGATGAACAATAAATTCTCACTCCCCAACCCAAACAATCCAATACTTTCGATTGGAGCTAGCAATAATTACAGAGCATAAAAAAGGAAATAGTATTTAGTAGGAGTGTTGCTGGATAGGCCAATCATTTGCTTTCAAAAATATGGTATTATGTGGATGATTACTCGAAAGTGCAGGGTATAAATTTGTTCCTAGATTTAGGTCCTTTCAGTTCAATCTAAATGGACAATTGGTATCTGAAAGGTTATTTTGATGACATTTTAAGAATAGGATTTAAGCCTGAAAATTCGGAATGTTTTATAAGAATATATTAATTGAAAACTTAAAAATAATCCAAAAATATTCTGAAGTTCCTAAGGAAAGGCTCTTGTCCTCCTGCTTTAACTGCATCATAAGAGACAGCAACTCAATTAAAACAGACTGTTCAATAATAGAAATAGGATTTACAATAATAGATAGAACTGTAAAATTAAGACAATGCTCCTACTATAAGAGTGCCTACTTTGAGAAAAAAAAAGTGAATTGTAAATTTAGTATTTAGTTTAAAACCAATAAATTTTTAAGTCATTATTTTATAAATGATATATATAAATTAATTGTAGAGAAAATGTAGTAGAACTAAGATGATCAAGAGATTGAGTCACCTAATCAAAGTGCCATCTTTAAGGTGAAAATAGGATAGTCTTTAATACTGAGACCTGGCGGAAACATGTAGATATTCCATTGATTAATAGTTTTATTTTGCCAACTATAATGGAGAATCAACTACCATTGGGTTATTAATGTCTGCTATACATCAATCAAATCGGATACATGCCAATTCCTTAAGACTTTCTCTATGATCGATCTGTCTATAGAGGAGGCCTAGATAGAGATACCTTTCTCCCTAATGGTAGAGGAGAAATACAATCCAAAACAAGCACTAAATTTATTGGGTAGTTCAAAGAAGGATTTGCTGATGGTAGGTGCAACATCGATAATGATGATATCATGTTTCATTACAGTTGGGGATGGAAGCATGGGCCATTCGAAGAGAAAGTATAAAATTGCAAAACAACTGGATTCTTTAAGAACAACTTGATGCATGGAGAAGTGAAGTCAATTACTGAATAGGATTCTGTCACAGATACCAAAATAATGTATTATTATAACAATGTGCGAGTTGAGTATCCTCCATAAGATTATCCTAAATAGCAAACTACTCGATACTTATTTATGCATAAGGAATTTTCGATAAATAACTACTTATTTCTAGGTTTACGAGAATGCAACTGGATAAATCAACTATTGATCGACTACTATTTAGAATTGATTTAAGATTATTTTAGAGTGATGAATCCTGATAATCAAATATTCCTCATTAACACTATCACGAGTTAAGATATATTTTCGAGTGTGATCAGTTGCTCAAGTAGTGATATCTCAATCCCAAAGAAAATCTAGGAACTTATTCTCAAAAACGCATTCAATAGACTAATAATAATTTTGAACGTAGATAGAAGTCACTTTGTGACATTGGTATTTTAAAACAATACACTATACATGTTAAATTCAATGAATTATTGCGATGAAATGATTTTGGAAAAAGTAAGTTTTTTATTTCTGCATTTGCATTTGGAGAAACAAATAGAGAGGAGGATTTTAACAGTTCCACAGTAGGAGAATGGACATGATTGTGGTTTGTACTCGATCTTCAATGTCCTTTTGCAATACATAAATGTCAACACTCCTGTAGATTAGATAGATTATAATATTGAAACACCAGAAAGAATAGCTTATTTAAGATAGCATCTAAGAAATGTTCTTCTTAATGATTATTCACATTTAATTCCTATATACAATTGATATAATATTTTATGTTCATTCAATGAGGATATTTATTGATGATAAATATATTAAAATATTAAATTTATTATTCTTTATATTCTCTATATTTAATAAAATGATTATTCCTAATAGAAAATAATAATTTAACAACCAAGGTTCCAATTCTAAATAATATATTGATATTTCTACTTTAAGTAAACTCTTTTCGTATTGAGTTTAATTTAAAAAGTAATTTGATAATTATTCCATTAATAAAATTAATTCTCGCGATGAATTTCAGGTAAGGCTATAGGTGCTTACATATAGTGCTCAATTTTGGACTCATTTTGGGATGCTTATGAAGGAGAATGTATTCGATCGCCACTTTGAAAATCCAGACTTGTAGTTGACCACTTTGTTGGATGATGATTTAATAATTGGTGAATTCAGAAACCAAAATTAAAAATTAATGGACTTGTAAGATATATAGCGATATGTAGTATTCAAAAGAAACAAGTGGCTGAATTGGTCAGTTATTTAACTGAGATGCCAGCAGATGATTCGAATTCAAAAAGAGCATTCAGATATCCATTTTACTCATGCGAATTGTTGGTGTGTTGTGAGAATCCTAAAATCTTAGAGTAATTCTTTGGAGAGGACAAGTATCAACAATCAAATATTGAAATAGATCTCAATTGCATGCATTATTTCAATTTTTTATTTCAGAGGATGATGTAAACCCAGTGTTGGCAGGCTATGTCTGTAATGTTATGTTTAACTTGTTGAAAATGAAGACTGATATCTTTCTTGATGAATTTTATTAATATCAGAATTTAGTAGATGGATTAGTAAAACAATTATAATCTCGTTCGGTTGCTGAACTTGTAATTCGTGTGTTAACAATTGAACAAGAAACTCAAGCTGATTATACACCTTAAAGGATTCAATTACTCAAAGGAGTAGTTGGGAGAATTTTAGATATCTCAAATTTCGAAGTAAAATTCAATATAAGATTAATATAGGTCTCAACCAATGTGTCTCATATCATCCAAGAGATCACTTAGAAGGCTTATGTAATTTTCAAGGCATAGCCTCTATTTGAATTCTTATACGGAGAATCAATCGATCTATTTTGCTCGTCTATTGTCCATGAAAGCAACTACGTGTCTCTTGCTTCAGGAACTTCATTATATAATCTTCTCACCTTGCTCTACAAAATGTAAAATAGGTAAGGAGAATCATCTGAAGGTGGTGTTGTCATTGAAAATGCATTGTTCATTGTGAACCATTAAGAGCTATTCAATAAAATAGAGTCTCATTTAGATAAATGGCTAGAGTTCTTATAAAAATCTGCCACTCCTGTGTTTGGATAACACAAGATTAAGATACTTGAAATCATTGGAGTATGCATAAGTTTGAATCAAGAATCCTTTGTCACTAAACTATACCAATAGGATATTTTCAAAGTTTATAACTCATTATTTTCCAAACATGAAAAACATGACATCTTGCATTTGCAATATTTTAGATTCATTGTTCACATTATTGAATAAAAATTTGATAATCTCGTCCAGAATGTATAATAATGCATCATATTTAGTTATTCAATCAAAATGAGTTTATTCAATTTCTATTGAATAGTACTGCTGAAGTGAGCAACAATAAAAACCAAAGAAAAGAGTATTTGGGTTTTGTGACTAAATTGGCTCATTTCTTAGTGGAGTTTTCACCGAAATATCCATTGTTGTAGTCAGAATTGGAAACGGAGTCCTGGAAGAAATTTAGGGAATAATATTTTGATAAGGCTGAGAAACTGAATAATCATGAATTGGGTGGTCATACAAGAGCTGATTATAAGGAGGATGTTCATTTTAATAAAGAGGATATCTAGACGAAATATGATGACTTTTTGACATCCAATCATGATGAGAAGCTATAAGATGAAGCAAAGAATACTCAAAACTTAGAGAATATTTTTGATGCTTTCAATATCAGCAATACAGAGTAAGCCAATCCTGTAGATGGACAATAATAAGACTGGTCTAATTTCTCATGGGGATAAGAATAAAATCAAGCAGGAGGAGCATCAGAACAACAATCAAATTTCTAATAATTTGCAGATAATTCAAATTAGGAACAACGCAGAGAGCAAGGAACATCAGTAGAATAGTAATAGAACACTTAATAAAAACATGATTATGCATAAGAGGAGAAAGATGATGAATATAATCGATTTTGGCAATTTTAAATCCACGAACATGATGTAAGTTGTACTTAATATTTTAGGCTAAATTACATGATGATGCTTTGTATGAGTTTGAAAAAAATTTGTGATTATTTTGATCAATTTTAATAGTATAATGTTTATATAATGAATGAATTTATTTTTGATTAACTTGATCAGTTTAAAGATGATTGGAAATAAGAAATACTCTTATTCGGTTTAGATTATTGGAATAAGACAAAAAAATTGGATGACATAGTAATAGATGAGTAAAAGATAATAGAAAAAGTAGGAGATAATCACTTTGAAGGATTCTGTTTAGATTGACTAGGGTTTAGAAATACCAATTCTTCAACGAGAATATATTTTAGAACCTAATATTGACACAGAAGAGATTGACAAATTCTATTTCAATTTGAATATTTATCATTATCAAAAAATAGTCAAATGCATTTTATTAAATATTACATAAATAAACATAATACAACAATATTCTTTTTTGAGATACTTTATTTGTAATAACTATTTATTTTTGCTTGATTATATATTATTTATTCATTGGTAGTATAAACATTTAAGAGGGAAAATTGTGATGGAATTAGATGTATCATTTAAAATAATATAGAGTTTGGAAGATTGCACATTGATTGAACAAAACTATGTTATTATTTTTGAGGATGTCTTATAGATTATAAAGAAATTGAAGATATATATTATATTTTTTATTTAAGGATTCAAGGGGTTAGAAATTTATGACTAGTAGAACTTCTTCATAAAGCAATTTAAATTGGTGTTTCATTTGTATCTTAAAATACTAATTTTAGTACTTAAAGTAGATAGATGGCATAAAATAATGACGAAATGAAGCAACAATTCGATAACATTCATGATAAATGAACAAGTACAGTTTGAAAAAGTAGCAAATCTTATTCGGATAATGGGAATGGTCATCAAAAAAGATTAGAAGTGATTCAAGCTAAAATTAATGATGTTTATTAAAGAATTTATCACTGCCCTTTAAAATAAATTTCTAAAATCTTTCTAAGAAAAATGGGTAAGAGAATCAGAGCACAAAGAAAGGGCAAATCAAACAGTGTTTTCAAAGCACATTAAAATTAAAGAATCGGATCTCCCTAATACAGACATCTTGATTATGCTGAGAGACACGGCTATGTCAGAGGTGTGATTTCTGCTATTCGTCACGATCCAGGACGAGGAGCTCCACTTGCTGAAGTTGAATTCAACGATCCATACAAATACAAGAAGGTCACCAAACTCTTCATTGCTCCTGAAGGATCATACACTGGCTAATACATTTATTGCGGAGCAAAAGGTAACATTTAGTTTGTGAATCTTAGCTTAATTGGCTACAGGAAACGTTCTCCCAATCGGATAAATCCCAGAGGGTACAGTAGTTTGCAATTTGGAGGAACACCCAGGAGACAAAGGAGCTTTGGGAAGAGCAACTGGTTGTTATGCCACCATTATTGGTCATTCAGATGATGGAACAACAACAAGAGTTAGATTACCATCTGGTACCAGAAAAACACTTAGTGCTCTTTGCAGAGCCACAGTCGGTAATTTTATTTGAATTTATTTTAGGATTGATTGCTGGAGGAGGTAGAACTGAAAAGCCCATTCTTAAGGCAGGAAGACAATTCCACAAATACAGAAGACTCAGAAAATGCTGGCCAAAGGTTAGAGGTGTGGCCATGAATCCAGTTGATCATCCTCATGGTGGTGGTAATTAATAACATATTGGTCATCCATCCACACTTTCAAGATATGCTCCTCCTGGTCAAAAAGTCGGTCTTGTTGCTGCCAGAAGATCAGGTCTTCTCAGAGGTGGTGCATAACTTAAACAAATGGACGAAGATTTGGCAGCACAATAAGCAAAAAAATGATATTGATTATCTATAATCGTACAATAAAATTTATGAATTATAATCTCAAAACTTTCGACACCATTAAATGGTTACGAAATCGTTACAAGGCTAGAGTTAAAGATAAATACATTCTCTATGAATCGGAACTCAGGGAATAAAATATGATGAAAGCAGTCTTTAACTCCATAGACAGAGATAAATCAAGTATGAAGTATCTCATAACACTCATTAGAATTTCTAGATCGATCTGAATTGTATGATATGTTCATCAAATATGGAATCAACATCACCAAATCCAAACTGAAAGAATTCTTCAAAAGCATTGACGAAGATGAAGATGGTATCAATTTATTATCAACAAACCTTAGATAAATTGAATTGGACAGATTTCAAGCAAGCTCTTCAAAATCAAGAAGCTTTGAACAGTATTATTATATTCACCATTCAATAGTGTTTGTTTAATTAATGAAGAAAATTAGGGAGGATTATGAAATCAATCACTATGACCCTTCACAACAACTAACTTTTGTTCCTTTGAGCTTTCCTCAAATGATACAATATATGAATTATTGCGTGTTAAGAGAAGAGATTATTGATAAGATAGAATCTGATAATATCAATAATTATTAAAAGCATAAATAATGCGTTAATCTTCTTACATTAGAGGATAGTTGCTACAGGAATATTAAATCTGATTAGAATGAGGAAGAGGGTGGGGATGATCAAATCAAGAATATATAGAAAATGGATCATGCACAACTATTGTAGATGAAAAGATTCCAAGAAAGAGAACTCAAATTTAAGAGATTAGTAAGATTTTTTAATCTGATTTTAGGAAAAAGTCAAAGACATAAGCAAACGAAAATTTTACACAAATCCAACCCAAGACTTAGGTGTAACTGACACTGTTAGATTGTAAATCGTTCAATATATATATATAGATCAGACATTACGCAACTTAGAACTAATCTCACTTAAGAAATTACTAGAACGAGGGGCAATATTGATAAATTTTTAGCCATTCTCAACAATGAAAAATTGAAATAGCAAAAATCAAGGCAAGCCTCTCGAGTCTCCTCCAGATAAAAATCAAGAGACAAGAAAACTACCATTTTTAAAAAGAATACAGTGCTAATCGAAGCATAAAAAGAATTGCTGAATTCATCAGCTCCAGAGCAAACCAAATTTAAAGAACTACACTATGGGTCTATTCATAGAAGAAAAGTACCTATTATACATTAATTCCACTTAGTACCCACGTGAAAGGATGCTGTCATTAGGTATGAAATAAAAATGAAACCACTATATTGTTATTTAATTTGTATTCGTATACCATTAAGTAACATAATTTCCATTAATATGTTTGGTTCTTCTTTATTATCAGGTAAATACCAATTAGAGATCTGTAGATTTTTCAATCATATTAATAACATAAAAATTAATTGAAATTAAAATGAATTAAATAATATTGCTTAGTTGGATAATCATCATTGTTTCTTCAGATTGCTTGGCTGATTGTCAAGATCAATTAATAAATTGTACTACTAAGTGTCTTAGCTCATATAAATTGAATGCAAACACCGATTAACATAAATAAGTTTGTCATGAAACATGTATGCAGATTGAACAAAGACCTTGCTAAAGAAAATGCATTGCCTAGAAATCTTGATTCAAATTATATATAATATTAATTATTTGATACTATCAATATATTTAATATGATCATCCAATTTTTATGTAATTCATCGTTTTTATTATAAATTATAATGCTTTTTTAATCTTTAGGTTAACTCATTGAAGATGTCCTATTATCTCTATTCTAAAGTAGAAATTCATCAATTTGCCTTCTTTCCATCTGTATAGGTTTAATATATCAAATTACTTATCTTAACACTTTAAGATATTCATATTAATTGAATTGTCTCAAAAATCCATAGAATATGTAATACCTAAAATTAACTAAACATAATTGAATATGATATATTTAAATTGATATGATTTAATTTTAATAAAAAGTAATAAACTAAATTAATATCATTCACATTAAAAACATAATTATTGATCAACATATATTCCAACATTGTGAACCTTAGATTTATCATACATTACTTCTAAGACTATATCAATATCTTCATCAAAGTGTTAATTTAATTTCTATGAAAATAAGATAATGTTTCTTTATTAATTATTTTCAAACTTTGAAATTTGGATTGATTAGAAATCAGAATAACGATAGTTCAATAATGTATGTAATTCATAGATTGGCACTGGAGTATTCATATGAAGAGGTTTAAATAAAATATTGTCTAAGATCCCTTTATCTAGTGTATTAATTTTTATTTCAATACAATCAACTAATTTATGGATTTTACTTTGACAACACTATAAATATTAGCTATATTCTTATTGTAATATTAATCCTAAATTGATGACTTCATTTTTTAATTGTGTATATTTATCAAACTTCTTAAAGCTTCTATGAAATCTTTCCAAAGGTTTCAAATCAATCAAAGTTGAATCTATTCCTTCTGGAGCCTCAAAATCCAAGATTAAACTCAAAATACTTTGATTAGTTTTTTCTATATCCTATTCCTCTTCAAGTAATTCCCTTATTTACTTGAAAAGTGACTTTGCTTCCTAAAATAGATATCTCAAATCTGGATAATCAATAATTTAATCCACTAATTCCTTCTTTACATATTAATTGGTATCGATATCCGATCTCTAATACTCATACAATAAATCTATCCTTTTGGCTAGCCTTAATGGATTCCAATCATTAATTTACTCTTTGCTCATTTCGGACAACTGAATGAATATTTCATCAAATTGGTTCTATATTTTAGACTCAAAGAAGGTCTTAAATATTTCAAATAACTCTTTTGATTGGCTTTCAAAATTGCTATTTTCCAAGGCTTCAAATTATTCAATATTTCCCAATTTCAATTCAATTTCTTCATAAGTATTAGTCTGAGCAAATATATCTAATAAATTTTTAGGAAAGTAATACAATGCCTAAGCAATGTAGGTACGTAATAAGTTAATTTCATCTTAAATTAATTTAGAAAACTTAAGAGAATTGAGTTGATTTTTCATTTTCAATAAAGAGAGTTCCACTGAAGGGTAATTTTCCTAAGATAAAATCTAGTTCAATTCTTCAATAAATTAATATTAATTTAATTACTCGATAGCTATCACTCGATTGTTAGTTTAAACAATTAAATCGTGATAATTCAAAGATTGCACTGTGATTTATTATAAGTGCATTTTTGGATAAGAGAACATGCTTAGTTTTTAATCATGAATAATTTTCTTTATGTCTAAGTATTAGACTAAAACATTAATATTGTCATTCATAACTTTTTATCCTTTCTTTAATTGTCTAATAAATTAATATTCAGTTTAGTATTTCTGCACTGATTGCTCATAAAATTGATTAAGAAGAGAGAATCTCCTTGTTATTTTATTTAATGCTTCCTATTCTTACTATAAGTGATGTTCCCATGCAAATTCTCCTAGGGGCAATGTTAATAGAGTTTTAGTTTTCAAGATTTCTTGTTTCAGATTAATGTACATCAAATCAAAGATCTTCATGATTTCCTGTTCTTAGTTAAAGACTATTGGAACATAAGATATTCCTTAGTTGTGTAGAATGTGTTCTTGCTGTTTTATCTATATATAAAATTATTAAATACTAAAATATAATAATGAAGTACTTATTGAATTTTTTTATTAAACTCATAGCTTGTTTAAAGTCAATTGGTTACTTATTTTAATATTCTCTTATTTAATCTCTAAATTCATCTAATTGACTCTAAAAGGCTTGATACTAATTCTAATATTCGTATTTTGACTTAACCAAGGTTGATTTATTTTTATTGTTTAATTAATTGCTTACTTTTAAGTCCTTCAACTTCTTTAAGGTCTTTTCTTTATATTTACTAAACAAATTTTGAAAGATATTGATTGAATTGGAACCAACTTACTTTACTTAAATTTTGAAAGCATCAATATCTTAATCGAACAATACAATGTCCGGAATCTTTATTTGATTGTAAATAGAGAATATTGTTATTAATTCGTTTCTACTCCTTTATAATGCTTTAAAGAGTTGTGGATTCCATTAGATCTATTATCTTTTGATTGCTAAGAAGTTTAGTGTTTGCTAAGATAATTAATGATGCATGAAATCGCTTAAATCTGGAATATACAAGTCTTGCTCTAATTGACTCTTATAATTTTTGAGTGCATCATATAAATCCAAATAGTCCATCTATTTGTAAGGCGTTTGGGAATCCTTTTTGTAAGGGTTATTTGGTATTTATTCAAAGAGCATGCTTATTATTAGCGGATCAATTCTCAGCATAAATTGTTTTTGTGAGGAAATATGTTGTAATCTCAAAATTTCATGTTCGATTAATTGTACATCAGTGTATTCTGTAATTTTAATAAATTCAATGTAATCATCTATTATCTAGAGGTATTCCTCTTTATTGTAATCAACGTCCATCTGAACGACTTATGGGAAGTGTTGTTCCTCAGCCTCTTATTTAGGATCATATGATTGAAAATCAGATCTGAGTAGAAATTCCTATTTAGATGCTGGAGGTATTTCTTGTTCTTCAAAGTCCTAATTTACTTCCTTCAATTCATTTTATTCGTCAACTTATTGAGATATTTCTATATATTAAGAGATTTGATTGGTTTATAGAAAGAGATATTAATTTTGAGGCATTTAGGGGACGACTTACTCTTTAAGAGATTCTTCATTTAATTAGATAGATTTGTTTAATTTGTTTTAGGTTGTGGGATCAATCCTTATATTGAATTGCTCTTTTATAACAAAGTTATTTCCTTTCAAATTTTGGATTGTAAGTGGCTAATGAATGAGGTTACAATTTGGAATTGGCTGAAATATATTGTGCTTCTAGGATTTGTTTATATTTTAAGCATTTGAAAGTGCATGATTAGGATCGTATGAATTGGATTGTTAAATCTAATTGGATACTACCATTTGATTTTCTTCAGGATATTCTTGTGAGACTTGAATTTCTGGATTTAACTTTTGAAATTATTCGTGGGTTTCATATTGTGCCTCCACAAAGAAGGGATCACTTTCCTTTTTCTTTTGAGTTATCTCTTAAATGGGTCTTGATGAATTCTTCCATCGATTATAAGAATACTTCCTCAAGTACTCATGAGTTATTGACATTTAATTAATAATTGAAAAATTGAATTACTATTATTTAGACGAATTCTTATCTAATAGGAATTTAGTCTTCATAGAGTATCTAGCATATTTTGGGCCTATATAAAATATATAGGAACAATCTCAAATAATAATTAATTATTCCAAATCATTAAATGTCAGGAAAAGCAATTATCCAAAAGGCCGCCCCATTCTTCAAAACAAATGCATGGTATTATTTAGAGATCTATTTCGAAGGAATCCAATTAAAAATGCTATTGAATCAGTTTAATTGACTGATTTCAAAGGAAAGTATTTATTGCTTTTCTTCTACCCATTGAATTTTACTTTTGTGTGCCCCACAGAAATCATCTAATTCTCTAAATTAGCTAAATAGTTCAGAGAACACAACTGTGAAGTCCTTGGATGTTCAGTTGATTCAGTCTTTTCACATGCTGAATATGTGAAGAAGCCCAAAGCTGATGGCGGATTAGGAGGATTGGACATTCTCTTGTTATCTGATTTGACCAAACAAATCTCTTCAGATTACGGAGTTCTAACAGATAGTGGACTTTCACTAAGAGGAACATTCTTAATTGATGGTAATTAAAATTTACGTCATGCTTCAATTAACGATGCCCCAGTTGGAAGGTATTATATATCTCTACTTTTAGAAATGTAGATGAATATCTAAGATTGTTGTAAGCCTTCCAATTTGTTGAGAAACATGGAGAAGTCTGCCCAGCTTCATGGCAGCCAGGACAAGCCACCATTAAACCAGATATTGAAAAATCAAAAACCTATTGGTAAAATACACACGCCAAAAATTGAGATGAGCCCTTTTTATAATAAATATAAAGTAAAATATATAAAACATATATATCTTTATGTTATTAATTTTTCTTACATACATCCTATTACCATGCCATTTAGCAGAGTAAGTAAATATTAGTAATTGTTATGACTTGAACCTTCACAAAGATGAATTCTACATTAACCCATATGACTCTATATTTTTAGAGAGTAGGGACTTAAACTTTTCCATGCCTTAACTTCAACACAATATGATGGTAGAGACCTAAATTATCTAAAATTGTTCTGATTAAGATGTAATTGTATTGCCAACCTTTGGTAATGCTTTTGATAATTAAAGCTTTATTAATCAACTTTGTTGGCTGAATAAGATTGCAACAAATTATTACCTCACTTGTAAAAGGAAAATGTAGAATTATTTATTAGATAACCAAATAATTTTTGGTTCTGAAGTAACTAGCCAAATCAATTACCCTACTCAAGAAAACTATACTTGTGAGCACCTATTTATAAATGAATAGCAAACCATAAATATATTTTGCTTTTCTAATACAAATCTTCATTACTTATCAATCAATTTAGATAGAAACAGAACCTTAGATACATATAATCACACTTTATCAACATATTTTAATGTTTGTTCAAAGCAAATTCTCAAAACTTCACTAGAAGGTTATTTTATAATTGCTTTTACTAAATGCCAATATTGGAGTGTATTCCTTTACAAAGGATTTTCTATTCAATAGATTATAGATATTAATAATTTAACTAATCTTAATAATTTTCCTCAAAAGAATTAGCTTTCAAATATTTAATTATGTTAAAATAATTTATATCTAATTTTTGTGAATGAGTATCTAGTGATTAATGTTGAATTACTTTTCCATAAAATTTATTCATGTTGCTTAAGAACAATATTAAATATTTACCTTATTATTTTAAGATACTTGCTCAGTTTATAGTTAAGTATTAATTTTCTAAAACTACAAATCAATAGATCAGTGTATTTAATGACACAATTTACATAAGTATTGCTTAGATTCCTTAAAACATCTATTATTCAAAGAATTTATTAATAGTCTAATATAGCTCAGATTTACTAGTTATGATGAATCAAAGGATAATATAGAAGTATTAATGGAAATTGTCATCCTTAGTATATGATAAAACATATAACTCATTCTATGGGTATGATTTTATCTAGAATTCAATTAAAGTCTTTAAATTATATCTTTAATTAGGATATTTTTAATATAAGACAGATAAGTATTTTTTATAAGTGGTAACAAAAAATTTACTTCTTAAAGAGAATTACATAACTTTGATTTGCTTCTAGGTTATAGAATAAGGCAATTCTGAAATTGATGATAATATCATGGAACATAATATTGATATTGGAACGAGTTGTTTGCATAAAAAATATATCTCTTTTAAAATTTCAAAGCTATATATCAATTCAAACTTACCAATAGCTGTAAAAGTAGCTCCGAATTCCAGAATAGTGAGTAAGTGATAGGGAAGAGTTGAAATTTATTTGCTCACCTAAAATTAAACGGTATAACTCTAAAGACTCTTCATATATACTGAAATATTACAACAAAGGACTTTTTACTAAGTATTTTGTCTGGAAAAATGATGAAAAGTACATAATTTAATAATGTAAAGATGAGCAAATAAAATAAAGTTAAGTTTATACTCAGGAAGAAACAAAAGTATTTTATTCTATGGGAAGGGTAATATTTGTGGAATTCTAGATTTCAGAAGTTAAGATTTATGATTTTCAAAACTCTCTTAATCAATACAAAATAATTAAACTACCTGAAAAGATAACATAAGTAACTCAATTTGGTGACTAGATTGTTTTATAAACTGAAAATAACAATATTATATATGTGATAAATTCCTAACAAACTTCACACTATTTGTTTGAATTTGAAAAGTAATTCAAGGAAAGTTAGGTTTTGTATTTTAAACAAAAAAATCATAATTATCTGATACAATATGAAAAACACCTATATGTAATATTTTAGGAATGCCATTCTTCGTTTTCATTTCTAGATCATTTAATAATTCATTCATAAATAGAAACATCTTTCATAGTGATTTATGCATTAGTTAAGTCTTAAAATAGAATAATAAAATATTTATACAACGATCAAGAGTTAAAATAGTTAGAATACCTTAATCTAAATTAATATTAAAAGCAAATTTACTTCCCACTAAATGTGTAGAGTAACTTGGGAAGAATTGTAATTCTAGCTAAAAATGAATCTGCGGAGTTTTTTCTCTTAATATTTTAATTAAAAAAAAATTTAGCTTAAAGTTTGGAATAAATTATCGAAATAAGTAGATTAGATTTCTTTTTCACCCCATTGTTTCTATTTTTCTATGACAAAGAATATAAAATCTAGATTTTTTAATTCGATTACCTAGAATTTAAGATGGATATTTAAAATATTAATTTAGATTAAAATATTGTAGCATTAAACTAAAGCTTGATATACTATTCTTAAATTTAACCTTTTAAAGAATTTAATTATAATTTCACAATTTCATTCAGCAATTTATGTTTCGACATAAAGAAATTACCAATCAATTAACGAATATTGCATAGTAAATAAAATCTAACAACATCATTATGTTTACAAGATTATTTTTCTGGTCCCATCAAAAAAGTTAAATTATTGAATACTACGAATTTAAAACTACATGGCCCATTTTTATACAGATATAAGATGTAACAATGCAACTCTCATTCAGATTTAACATTATGTATTGAAACTCGTATTCTTCAATATTAAGAGAATATTAAGTTAAAAATATATTTTGTCTAAATTGAAAATGAATACAAAATATTAAATGATTGTCATTTGGCTCTTAATATTCCAATTATTTAAATATATTATTTGGAATAAGATCAATTGCTTGTAATTCACCATCATTTGGATATGTGTGTGTTTGTATTTTATGAATTTAATGTGCTTAATTCAAGATATTTTTAAAAATCTGTTAAAAAATATGAATGTAGTCAAGTTTAAATGAAGTGTAAGAAATAGGGTAATATATTAATGCTAAAATTTCAAGAATAAGTAAGATTTTTCCTTATTTTTGAATAATAAATTACAGAATTGCATATCAAAGGTTTAGAATAATTTAATGATGTTTTTATCATAAATAACAGTCCGAATTAATTTTTATTTCTTGCAAACTTAGCTGATTTTTCTGATTCTTTGATGAGTGTTTATTATCTAGATTAAAATTAATTGCATTTTAACGGCAGTTATAAGTTGGACAACAATAAATTTTAATTAGAATTATTATAAAATGAATTGCTATCGCAGATTCAAAACAAATATACTATTATAAGTTATAAGTCATTTAAGATAGATCAGCAGTGCATAATTTCGTAGTTAGTAGTAATTGCCTAAAGTACAATTTTTATTGGATTTGTGAAATGTTTTATATAAGAGAAAGAATGCATTTTTTCCTTAACTAAAACACTTAAAATACCTGAGCCACTATTTGAAGTACCTAATTTATAGTTTGATGAAGATTTTATCTTTATCTTCCTAAAGTAGAATTATTATCTGTATGATTTAAAATTAAAGAATAACATAAATTATATTGCTTCTCTTCAATCCGATTTTAAAATATTGACTTTTAATACTACACACTATCTTATTGCTCCGATGAATTAGTAGGGGGATATATATCTAGGATAGATTGGTTATGAGATATCACTTTTAGAGGTTGGATAAAGCTAGAAAGAAATTGAATTTGATTTATTAGTTTAAAATGAAATATCAGAGGAGTAAGTTTCTTTAATATTCTTCAATGATGATTTTAAAGTATAAACTTAGATGATAACTAAATATTTAATTTGCACTATAAATATGATATTTATTATTCTGATGATTTACTTGACTCGTAGATCAAAATTGAAATTATATAATCGAGCGTACAAAACTAATGACAAATATTGAATTTAATATGGTTTGATTATTATTAATTATGTGTTTAAATCTAAATATAATTAGTTAATAATATGATTATAGCAATTAAGAATTTTAATTCCTACTTCAAGATTTTGAATATCTAATAAAGTTCAAATATAGACAATAAATAATTTTGTTAAATGGTTTTATTTAATCAAATTCAGTTATTTTATATTTACAATATGAGGTTTATGAAAATTTGAAGTCTTATATAACAACTCCATTTTTTTGTTGATAAATAATTATTTATATTTTAGTCGATATTGATTATGTTTATTTGTTTTGATAAATATTAATGATGAAAAGAAATATTGTTAAAGTATCACAATTCATATGTCGCTGCATTCATTCATCTACGATGCACAATTCTATGCTAAGCATTGAAATTTTGATTTCGATTATTTTTAAAGCATAAGAGATTAGTATCACGGTTGATTAGAATTCGAGCTTGAATAGAGAAATGAAGTATTGAAAGAATCATATATCAATTAGTCTCATTTTTTAATTCGTTAGATATTGTGTGGCTTTTGAGTAAAATTCTCAGTTTTACTTTGCGCTTATAGTCTATTTATTTTTGTTCATGCACGTAGCCTTTTTGTTACTGTTTATCGTACATTTAGTACAAGAAGAAAAAGAGAGTACCTTATCATTTCAAATTTTGCACTATTCTTTTATCTATTACTCTTCTTTGATTTATACGCCAGTAATATATTCTGCTTTGCTAACATATTACGAAATAGCAACAGGAGACCGCACTTTTATTACTCAAAATTCAAATGAGGTTTTTTTGATAATTTCGTGCACTATAAATCTCTCGATGAGCATATTAATGAAATTAGTGCATTTATATTTTTCCGAATCGCCAACCCTAATCGGAGATAACAACGTTATAGTTTTAGAAAGTTCAATGATATTTAATGTAATCAAGGAAATTTTAATGTTACTTTCGGTGGTTTTAAAGATTTATAAATACCAATAAGTAATTAGAGTCATTTTGGTTTTTTTAAAGTAAGGAATATCCTTGATTGAACAACTGAATAAGAAAAACTGCTTCATTCATGTGCTGATTAAGGTGGTCTCAATGGTTACTATATTTGGCCTATTTAGCGAGGTTTCAATTTGCGAGTATTTATTGTTAGTTTCAATTTTCTTATATATCACTATTTCAATTGTACATACCATAAGATTGAAGTACATTATGACTCAGAATCAGGCAAATATCATAACACTTTAGGTAGATTTTTTACTTAATTTAAGTTAATTTAGATTTCATTAAATTTGAGTAATTCTTAAGAAAATTAGATTTTCGTTTAAATTTCCTTCAAGTTACATAAGTGTTCAAAGTGTAAGCAACCTTAGGATATGATTTAATGTTTATTCAAAAGTATAGTCAGATAAACATCCCAAATAACGTACATCATTAAATTTTGCTATTTTCTATCAGAAAAGTATCCGATTAAATCATTAATAAAATTATTGGAAATTCAAACCAATAATTTGTATTTCCTTGGAACCACTTAAAATTTAATCAAATACTTGAGATAATAAAGTGACTTATTACTAGAATTGTCACAAAAAGATGTATACTCTAAGAAAAAGGAGAATATCTCTAAACAATTACGTGCTCAAACAATTTATGAGTGCTACTTCTCATCCTAAGAAATTTTCCCCAGTTTCGAAAGAGTCATCATTTCAAAGATCAACTTTTATAATCATTTAATCAAAGGATATGACAGCGTTAACACCTACATTAATGAAGCTTTGGCCCTTTCTTAAAATATTATTAAATGTAAGTAGTTAATGAACCAAAAATATGATATGATTAATGAGACTCTTAAAAATTCCAGTATCTCTGAAACATTAAGTATGAGAATTATACAAATATACCATTCGGCTATATACAATAATTAATATCTGTCATTTTAAATAGAAAAGAAAGTCGAAGAACATTTGAAAAATGAGAGATTTCGATAAGATGAACCATTAAGTAGCATATAACTAATTCAAAGTAATTAATAGATTTATCTCAGATAGAGTATTTATATTTTAATCAAGCTTAATCAAAAATAGAGGAGAATTCATTAATTTAGATACAAAGAAGTTGTCCTCCTTCTTGGAAGAAAAGGAAGAAGAACTTAAATATGTAAAACATTGTTCCTAGTTAATGCCATTATTTTTATCAGATATCCATGACGAACTCATAGATAAATATATAATAAATGGCTACACACAGACTCAAAAGTAGAGTCGAAAAACCTTCATTCTGACTTATGAGGGGTATGTAGAGCCTTGTGTTTTCAATATTTATCCCCATTTTGATATTGACAATAATGATTTCATCATGAATGTTATTATGAGTAAGATGTAATAACACGAAATGATATTATTTGGAGTTGATGGATCGATCAATGGGTTAACTAAATAGTTTTATGAAATTGCTGCAAAATCTAATTATCACTTTATGAAAATCTTTAGAAACGATAAAACAATTTCAAAAGATTAATCAAGCATTAAATCATTTTTAGAAAAAAAACCTTTAATTCAATACTATATTCCAAATATTATGTTTTAGATTGATTAATTGGCAAAATAGTATTAAAAAACTAAATCCTATTAATTAACTAATTTAAAATCTACTTGGGTCATTCCAAATAATCATTAGCAATGTTTGATCTCAACCCAAAACATATTGGAACCTTTTAAAGTCCAAAATTCTTATTATGAGAGATCCTATAAAAAAAGAAATCCTTAAATGTCAATTTTTAAATCAAGATTTGATGCAAGTAGGAGTCGTTAAACATTCTATGATGCGCAACTTGTCGAGTCGAATGATAAAGAAATTGATGGAATTCCAATCATTCTACTTTAGCCCTATTTATAATCTTAACTAATTGATATTGTAGATTTTGGAGATGTCTCAAAGTCCTAATTTTAATTAGCACTCTAATATGACTTACAATTTAATACTTTTGAACTTCCGAAAAAAAAAATTGGCTATTTTGTGTTGACGTTCACAGATTTTAAAGTCTTATCAACTCAATCCATTTTTTCTGGTCCTGCTCCTAATGAATAAAACCTAATGTCTGGATTGTTTGAAGATAAAATATGCTAAAATCCAATATTGGCTCAAAGTATGAATTGCACAAACAAATAAGAGCAATAACCCAACAAATAGGAGCAATATGATATTATTAGTGAAGCAAGACAGGAATATAAGGCAGTAAGTGATACGCGTGAAGTTTAAAAGGATAATGAGTATTTAAATTTTAGTAGTGCCAATTAAAGTTTTGAATAGCATTTGATTAAAAATTAGATTCTTTAAAAATCCTCCGAAACACAAGGTCAATTCGATACATATAGAACACAATTAGGACCATTAATATTGAAATCTAAGTTTTCTGAAAATTATAACATAGAAGATATTGATTTAAATGATCATAATGAATAGGTAATTAAAATATTGATAATTTAAGTTGAAAAAATAGAAACCTTCTAAAACAGACCTACAAGTCAGCAAAAAACAAGATGAGAAAAGTAAGACTAAGTCTCATTTAAAAGAATTTTTTTCTAGTAAAAAAGAAGAAAATAATGATTTTGCATCCAATCGTTCAAGATCATCTGTTTGTTCAACTTAAAGGGAAACTTAGTTTTTGGTTGAATAACTTTATTCCAAAACTTAACTTATTTTGCCTTTGTAAAAAATTGTAATAATTTTGGTGATGATTATTATCTGTATAATAGTAACTTCATTGACAGATTACTTAGTGGTTGTACAAAATCTAGACTAATAGACAACTGGAGTGATGAACTTATTAGAACCATAAAACATTACTTATTTTTATACTTCTGTTATTTATCAACTTTTGTCAAACCATTTACAATCAGAAAATCTTTTCAAGCTCAGTTAATTTTAGGAAACTAGAAATTTAGAAACTGTTGATAATATGTTCTAGAATGCAAGAATATATTTAAGAACTCTTAATGTAAAAGTTCCAAAATTAGCTTAAGATTAAGGAATAGAAAATTTTGAAATCAAATAAGTAACAAATAATATCCTGAGTACTTATAATGTGAGCGTTGAAGATTTTTACTTTATGCTAAATGAAGTTGTTGAGTCTGCTTATAGGGGGAACTTGAATTCTCCAGATCCACATTATGAAGAATTATTCACATCCGGGTTTTTGAGATTAAATATCTTGTATGTGGCTAAGGAAATTGATAGCTTAGTAGTTTAAATTATTGAAGATACTATTTCCTCCTAAGAATAAATACTAGCAAATTTTCAGAGCTTGATACTCATAGAACTATTCCTTATATTACTTTTAATTTTGACACAATTAAAATATTGGATATTCATTGATAAATTACAAAAGTCCATCCTATTTCTAGTTTCTCATTTAAATGAAAATTAAGCAATAGAGTAAATTGTTAAGTTGATGGCTGTCAAATCAATTATTGACTTAAAAAATCCTTAAAATTGGAAAATCGAGAACTTCTCTTAGATAATGATGGATAATGAAGGGAAGAAGAAGAATAAGCAAAAGTAAACTGAATCCTTTGGCAAACCAAATAGCTCTGAATCTTCTCTAACTTCAAGAATTTAAAAAACCAAACACGTAACAAAGATTAATTATATTATTATCTTATTGATTATTGTTATCTGGATTGCATATATACTAACTAGTTATGTATTGTTTGTCAAAAATAATGGCGACTTTTAACCATCCCTGTATGCAACTCTGAGATATGGATAATTCAGAATCAAAATGGATATTGTAACTCTTTTTGGAGGTCTGATAAAAACAGACAATTTAATACCAGAAAATAATTTATCTTTTATAAACTAAACTGAGACTATAATTTTATTTAAAGACTGTAAGGACTCAATGTTATCAATGATAAACGAAATTTCAACGACCATCTTAGAGAATGCATAAAAAAATAACTAAGTGAGTCCATTTGATGGTTTTTTGAATGATGACATTTGTCAAATTAAGCCTTGGGAAGAGATTAAGGCTTGTGATCCTTCCAAATAAAACCTGCCTTATTCTAGGTACTTAATATGTTTATAAATTATTAAGTAAAGATTCTGTGCACAATCTAATTTTAAATGGTATCTTGGGTTACACAGCCTCATTAGTAAAATACATAGATTAAGATTATAATTGGGAATTGAATTCCCTTTCATATAGTAACTAAGATGAAAATATGGCTGCGATTTAAAGTCAAGCCTTTTAAAATTATTTTCTCTCCTATTTTTGCGATACATAAGACACTTTCTTAGATTTCTTGACTCTATTTAAAATTGATAACACTAGCATCGCACATAGCATTATAAACTTAATGGAAATCTACTATTTAGTATTAGGATTTTTGTATAATTATCTTAATTATATTTAAGCTACTTCTTTTTTATGATAATTCTATCCTCAATTTGGGTATTCTGGGAATAAAAAAAAATGATGTCCCTTAGGTAAATGTTGGTGCTCATTCCTCAAGACGTATTGTAAAACCAAAATATGAAAAATAGACTTAAAATAATATTTGAATGGTTGTATTGAGCATCTAATTTATATGTCCTTTATAATTAATATATTGTTGTTCCTTATTGAAGGAATGACTGTATTTATGTAAAATTATAAATTAATTGTATGCTAATATCATTAGTATTTAAGGTTCACGACCATCACTATTGATTATTTTATAGATAATACCCATCTTCTCATAAGCTTTTCTATCCTTCGGAAACAATTGCAAATAGCTTTCCCAAACTTCTATTGCATCATCAAATTAACTCAAAGCTACAAGAAAGTCAGCTTTATTGTATTGAAATATATTTTACCTTTTACTCTATAGCCCTTAAAATCATTTTAATGTTTCTTTATATAATCATCATACACAGCTATCACCCCTTCAATGTCAAACATCTAATGTAATAGGTCAGCTAAGAGTAATTATGCTATTCATACAATACCTTTGTTAATGTAAGCATCTAGATAATTAGGGTTTTTCTGAATGTAATCATTCCATACTTGAACTGCCTCATCCATCCTCTCTAAATGAATAAAAAGGAATTAAGCTAAACTCTCTTGTTTATACTATACCTTTTTGATGACAAAAAGTGAACTCTTCTTCTTTGTTATTGCTTAAATACAGATTCCAAACCTCAATACTGGATTCCTCATCCTTCAACTTAGCCAATAATTATGCTTGAAATTAAATTGTGTATGCTTAAATACCTTATTTCTGATAGCCAACCAAAGAATTAGGCTCCAAACCAATAAACGAAGGCCAAATCGATAGCGCTTCATCTATTCTTCCTAGCCCAAGTAAAATCTAGCACAACATCTAGAGGCAACTTATGGTTCTTGTTTTGTTATTGTTCTCGTGCTCTTTTTATATTTCCTTTATCAAAAAACGAATTTCATGGAGAGATAACTCTTAATATGATTCATAATAAATTTTTTGAATTGCCTTTTGTAACCATTTCTGCTATTCATATGTGTAAGTATCAGCCGAGTCAATAACTCTCTTGATGAATTTAATTAACCCTTTATCGTCATATCTACATAGCAAGCCTGCACTTTTTACTGTTTCAGATTCATCATTGAGATTTGTCTACTCCCAAATATGCTAAACCTTAACTCTACAACATAATTATGTTGTTATGAAAGAGTGTTTGTAATTTTTGGATCTATATAATGATTAAGCTAGTTCATGAGTCAAAATATATACCATATTTGTATTTGTCCATCATTAGTAATTCAAAAACAATTATAATATAATTTTTATTTGCTATTTTCTGATTGAAATTTGGATTGTAACATTTTATATTTCATCATAATATAAGTTATCAGTTACTAATTCTAGATACATATGTTCTAGAATATACTTTGATGCTAATTTGATATCAATATTAGAATGGTAACTTAGTTAATTTGGTAAAAATGAAATAAGTTTAGAAATCTTTGTTTATCCTCTAATTTCTAAATCTTAATAGTTTAATCAGCAAAATCATTTATTTATATATATATAAAATATTCAAAAATATAGATATTTAAAATTGAAATTTGAAGTTTATTAATAAGATAAAAATACAGGTAATTTACAATGTTGTTTCTCAAAATTTCAATTCCAGTTAACCTCGATGATGCTAAATTATAGGGGTTCATTTATTCTGATCGTTTTCCATTTCAAATCCTGATTTTATATGAACTATCAACAAAAATTAGGATCATTAAATAAAATGAAAATTAAATAATTGAAGAAAATATTTATACACAATAATTGTATTAAATTAAAAATATATTTATCTTAACATAAGCTTCATCCTGATATTATTTCATCATTAAATTATATTCTTTTCAAGATATTAAAAATATAATCATTGATACTAACTTGAATGTTTATCAGTTTTCTTTGTTTTGAATTTTTTTCTTCAGAAGATATTTATTTAATATTACAACTAATGAATTAATGAATCAGAGTAGTTCATAAGAATAAAAATTATATCTTCGTGGCGAATTAAAACACATTCATTAGAATAATATGTTTTGGCAACAATGTTTTAATTATTAAAATGCAAAATATATTACATTGTTTAAACGTAATTAATTGGATATAATCGATTAATGAATTAATAAAAGAGTTAATAACTTCCAATTGATTTATCGTCTAAAACATAGGATAGCTAGTTTATGAAATACGAAACGGCAATAAGTATCAGCGAGTTTGTCAAATCTTTCCCTTAAAGAAAATTAGTAAGGGAATTCGATTATTTATGTTAAATAACTGAGACTAAGGAACATGAAAAAAACTTCTGTTAGAATGAAAATATTCAGCATTTGAATCGATATATAGATATTTTACCATGTAAATCATCAATTAGATTATTAAGATAAACACACTATTGTATCATGTAACATAAATGAGAAGTTTTACATTAATGCAAATTATATTAGAGGAATAGATAATGTTGAAAAGAAATACATTGCCACTTAGGGCCCAATCCAATAAAGTGTGAATGATTTTTGGCATATGATTTGGACAAACGAGGTTGGGGTGATAATTATGCTTTGTAAATTAGTGGATCATAATTTTGTAAAATTTATTGGTAATTTAGAGTCAATGTGAGAAATACTGGCCAGAAATATCAGATAATTATGGACCTTATTAAGTAAAGTTACAAAAAAAAGAAGAGTTAAAAGGTGGACTGATGTTGAATGAACTAATAATTAAATTTCAAGAATAAGAAAAATTAATACATCATTATTAATGGAATGGATGGCCTGATTTTGGAGTAGTTGATAAAGACTCATTTTTTCTTATTGATTTATTAGCAAATATAGCTAATCAATCAATCTTGGAAAATAAAAAAACAGTGATACATTGTAGTGCTGGAATCGGTAGGACTGGAACTTTATTGTCAATTTGTTATATTAAATAATTGTTAAATTAGAAAGAAGAAAAGATATCGATTTTTAGCATTGTTCGAAGGTTACGTGAATAAAGAGCCTATATGGTTTAGACTGAAGAGCAATACGAAATGGTTTATCGTTTTACATTGTGGCTAATATAGAATTTGAAATATAATTGAACAATAATTATATGTGCAGAAAAAAGTTTTCATTTATTCTATCTTAGAGCCTTTCAATTAATAAATTTAATATCAATTGTTTTATGTAATCTCTAATACATCATAATGTTTCATGGAAAGATAATTCTAGATGATGTTAAATTTCTGAAAATTCTACAAAATTAAATTTACATTAGTTTCTTTAAAGATACTTTTATAATAATTTCATAATACATATTTATCGTTCGCTAATTTGGCTTAAAATAAAAAACTTAACATACACATAAATTGTAAATTCTTAACGAATATTGAATTCTCACTCTTTACTATTTTATTAATTATCAGGAACTAAAATTTATTTGTTTTGTATTTAAATATAAGTTTCATAATAAACATTTGAATTATCGAATTTAAATCTACTCAGATTTTTAATCCCAGGTTATTAAAAATTCTCCATTCTCACTCACTGTACCAAAAATCAGTCCATTAACACATTAATCAAAAGAAATAACATATTTTAGATTGCATTCCCATTCAACACTTGAGATAAAGTGGAACATTATAAAATTAATTGCGTGACCATTTTTAGAAACAAGAATTTATTTGGAGGGAATAAACATTTATGGAAAATATTATTAACATTTTTGCCCACTTCCTTTAATTGATAATGTTTTCGATTAAATATATTATTATGAGAGCTAATCATAAGTGTAAAAGTTAAGTTGCTCTCTTTTATAGGGTTAAAATACAAAGATATTACTAGTTATGAAAGCCAAACGGAATCCTACATCAACCTTAATTTTCTATTTGACTTCCCAAATATTGTTGTTAGATTTTTCAATCACTAAGATTAATTCATCATAACCACAAGATATTAATTTATTTCCATCTTCATTAATAGACAATCCATAAATTAAAGAAGTATGTTCATGGATGGTCTAAATGCATGACCATGAGGAAGGCAAGGAGCAGGTAGGTGACCAAAATTTGATTGTTTAGTCAAATGAACCGCTGATGATGAGATCATCTTAAAGATTACTTGTTACGACTACGCAATTTATCTAATCAGAATGGGCATTCAATTTTGTTATGAATTTAAGACTTGATATAAGAGATGAAGACCAAATGATCATTGAACCGTCACATGAACTGGAGAGGAAATTCATTTTTCTACGAAAGAAGTTTAGTGTTGTGATATTCTCATGATGCTTGTTTATTTATTACAGATATTATAGAGACCCATTTTTAAATTAAAGGACTTTGATGCTTTCATAGGCAGAACAAATTAAAAGGTTGTTATTTGGGCTAATTGATATTGCACAACAGTCATCTGGGTGTTTGTAGTTTGCTTGAGCTAATAATTGATAACAGAAGGTGACATGATCTTGCTGTTGTTTTGATTTTGGACTATTATTCCTTTATTTTTACATAATTTAAATTAATTAATATAAAAATAGTAATACATCTAAGATGTTCTCTAAATTTAAATTATATATTTTACTTAGTTTCTTAATACTAAAAGTACAAAAAAACCAGAAAATTATTGATCAAGAACTCTTTAATATTATAATTTTTGAATATCTATCTAAATTTTCTCCATTCAATAGCTTTAATTCTTATTGAAACCTTGAGTGATATTCAATAGCTCTAATTTGTTAGCTTCCATATTACATATTACTCAATATCAACTTGATAGAGATAGAGATAACTATTTATAAAATAACAAACTGATTCGATAAAAAGGTATAACTGATTTAATTTAACTTTAATTTTAAGAAAAAAAATTGATTCTTGATGATATATTTAATTATGTCACCACTTTTATAATAAAAACAGGCAAAGATTAAAAATTATAATAATTTAAAATGAATAAACTTCTAACATTGGGAATGCTATCCCTACTTATGATTGGAGCCTCTCAGTATTTTGATGCTTCAGAAGTGAGTATTTAATAAAGATTTGAGCTTTATACAACAAAATATTAAAAGTTTTATGGTCCTTCTGAAAAGATCTACAGAGCAAAGATTTTTGAAGAGAGAATCAAGCTATTTGAAGCTCATAATGCTGATAAAACCTAAACTTTTACAATGGGAGAGAATTAATTTACTGATTTAACTTAAGAGGAATTTAAAGCAATCTACTTAAGAAGAAGATCTCCTTAGAAATTAGTAAATGAAAAATATGTACCAACTAATGAAGCAAACCTAACTTCAGCTAATTGGGCAGGCTTGACATCTGTCAAAGATTAAGGATATTGTGGAGCTGCTTGGGCTTTTGCAGCAATTGGAGCAGTAGAATCTGTTTTAAGAATTAATAGTGTCACAAATTTGGATCTTTCAGAATAATAGTTAATTGATTGCGACTTAGAAAATTAAGGTTGTGAAGATGGCAACCTAAACAATTCATTGAATTGGGCTCAAAATAATGGTGTGACCACCTCAGCCAGTTATCCTTACACTGGGTAAACTGATGGATGCAAAAAACCAACAGGGTAATTCAAATTTAAAGGATATCAAAAGGTTGAACCAGATTAAATGTAGGCAGCAATTATTAAGTCTCCAATCGCTGCAACTGTTGATGCTACAACTTGGTTATTTTATAAATCCGGTGTCTTTAATAAATGTACTTTTGAAGAATTAAACCATGATGCTTTGATTATAGGTTTCAAGGACGATGGAACTTGGATAGTCAAAAATTCTTGGGGTTAATGGTGGGGAGAAGATGGAATCATCAGACTGGCTCCAGGTAATTCATGTGGAATTTAAGAATAATCCTATATTGCATACGTTTGAATTAGATATGTAATTTCCAAATGAATATTATTTTAATCAAAGCATTCTCATATAAAAAAAATTATATAAAGAAAAATATCAATTGAGAAATTGCTTTTTTCTAATAATAACTATATAGAAGATTAGAATCCCTATTAAATCTGTCATTAGAAGAGCAATATGATTTCTTAGAAATTTCTTTTATAAACATATATGTAAAATCAATATTTTTTGTTTTTAATATTTGAATATCAAACTTAATATGAGTACTTTATAGTTTTTCTTTTTACTTAAACTTATAATCAATGTAAAGTGGTATTAATTTTTTATATAAAATCAGAATTTTTTGATGTTTTCATTATGTATAGCAATTTCATTTTTTCAATAAAAACTGACTTTCTAAGAAAATTATATATACAAGGTTCAGATTATTTTTTATCCAATTAATTTATAAGGGAAGGTTGATTTAGAGGATTTTGATCCTTAGTTATTTGATTTTGGATTAGTATTAGAAAGAAATTGAATATGATAAGTAATAACCACTCAATCATCTAAATGAGGTCTAAGTTTGTATGAATATTTTGTTCTCTTATTTAGTTTTTTTGTAAGAGTTTACTGCTGCACTAGCGAAGGCTCTATATTTTGTCACAGGTGAGTGGAAGAAAATATATAGCTTATATCAGATCCATTTTATCAAGAATTATTTGAAGTAAAAAATAACATTTATATATGAAATTTCCATTTATAGATTTTTAAAATTAGTGGATACATAGATGCAGTTGAAAAAATAAATTGTAATTCCGATCTAAATTTGTTTACAAAATCTCAAAGACGCTATCCCAATCAGTTCATTTTATTGAAAGAAATGGATAAGCTCTGATATCTACTTATACTAGATAGATATTAGGAGTCAATTGATAGCGCTCATATTTTGATGGTCAATTTTGTATCCTTCATGCATCAACTAATTTGTTGGAAGATAAAAAAATACAGTCATGGCAAAAAAATATACCAAAACAACTTTAAGTTGTTAGGATCCCTCTCCATTTTTGGAAAACAGAGTCATGAAGAAGCTGTTGTTCAAGAAATATAGAGTATCATATTCTTCTTGCATGCTTCATATGTATAGATAGTAAATCCTAGCAAATTTTATTCTTGGATTACAAGCTATAATATCTTATTATTATATTCTTTATCTTTAATTAACATTATAATAGTATATTTTCCAATTTAAAATTCCTTAATTATTGTAGAATAAATATTCTAATTTATAATTAATTTATGAGAACATACAAACACTCTAAGTCAATTAGATTTTTTTAAATTCGATAAATGACGCATATCAAGTATTAGGTAAAAATATTTTAATAAAATTATTTTGCTTTATTATATTAAACATTGAAAAATTCAAATCATGTTGATAACTGGATTTCTAAAACAAATTATAAATTGGATTCCTAAGAATTTTTTAACTTTAGATTTAAAATTAAGATAGTAAAATGAATTAATTCCAAAATTAGACATACAAATTTCAGAAAAAACAATACTTCAAACATTGCTCAATAAATCAAAATCCTGCATATTTTAATGAATGATATTAATATAATAAAATTATAAATAATTCAGATTTCAATTTTCAATATTAAAACTTATGTTTCAACATCATTGAGTATTGATACTTAAATAATTTCTATTTTCTATTAAGACATATGGATTAATAATTCTTTTTGAGATTCAACAAGTTAGATAAATATTGCATTGTAAATAAAGATTTTACTTTGAGAGGTACAATAATGACTAAATGAATATTTTTCGCCGTAACACTCATTAAAATTTCTGAAAAAACTGAAAATTTCCATGTTTTATTAGCATTAAACCTAAATTGATATAGAAATATTGGAAATGATATCATTAACAATTAATTGTTGTTAGCCAATTTCTTTCATAACCAAATCTAATTCATTTATTTTTAGTTCGAATAAGTTTATAGAATTAGTTTTTAAACCAAAAATCTCATTAATTCTAACTAATGAACATTCTAATGGAGGAGCTAGTTGATATAAAATTTTATCTACCAGGTATGCATTCACTATTTAAGATTCCCCATCTTTTGATACATCTAATACATTTATAGACGACATTCCAATCGCATTCTTCACAACCAACTGAACATTTAGCTACATACAAGTTAAAAGACTAAACTCCCCAATATGCATTCTCTTCTGAATTTTTCACTGATTTCATTTTTATTTCTATTTCTTGAGATGTATGATATGTATTTGCATCAATATTGATTATCTTCACTTAGTGTTCAGAACAAAAAAAGCTGGAGTCCAAAGAATAGATCTGAGTGGAATATTTAGATTGATTATCGATATTTAAATCAAATACTTCGTTATTCCATTTGCCAATTACCCAAAGTTTGACAACTACATGAACCTTAAAGTGAGGAGGTAGATTTTAAATGAGATTTTCTATACTTTGTCCTTTAAAAAGTGTATCAATTCCTCCTGCAATCTATAGGCTAGCGCATTTGCTATAACCAATTGTTTGATTGTTTTCAACCTACCATACATCAGATTCATTTGAGCCTGGCCAATATGAAACAAAATTAATCCATTAATTGCATGAAATTGTAGAATCTTGGCAAAACATGCAACCTTCTGGACATTCTTCAATTTCTATTTTGAAATTGTTAAATCCCCATGATTCCTAAAGATTATACAAATTCTACATTTTCCGACGACGCATTTAAATTTGAAGTCATAAACAAAACAAGAGATGAGGAAAGGTGAGGTGATAGTGTAGATGTTATGGTTTCCACGTGATCTCTATAAAAACTCCCCATATTACCACAAATATCGCCACCTTGGTCACCAGTGAATGATTAAGATGCAACATAGTTGTCAAATAAGTATATGAAAATCTCGCTATCCCACGAATCAATTCTAAATACAATAATTATAATACTTCCAAAAGTCAAAAGTAATTTTTACAGATATATGAGGTGGAAGCTTGAGAATTGAAGAAACAAAGGAAGATTTACCAAAAACAGAATATCCTCCAAGTATCTTTGAACCCCCACAATAACTAAATGGACCACCATAAGCATAAGCGTATTGCCATGATTATTTTGTCTATTATGGATCTGGATTTTCCCAATTTTTGCTATTATAAATTTCCTTCCAAGTAGGTTGAGATTCTCCAAAATATATCATCAACTATATCAGATAGATAAGCAATTTCATTTATTTAATTTATAAAATCAATTGCATTTTATTGTAATTATCTAAAAATTGCTACATTAGACAATTTTAATCCAAGAAAATTCATGATTCATAGAACATAATTTTATGAGATTTAGATTTAAAATAGAAAAAATTGAAAAATGACCATCAAAATCATATTCAAGAATTTTTATCAAAACTTAATATGTTGCAGTTTAGAATTAAAATTAAATTTAAAATTGTTCATTTTTTAAATAATTTATAATATAATTTCTATAGAAACTTAATTTTATATTCATTCTAGAGTTTTATCTTTGGTGAAATTAGAAGAGGATTATTTTATTAGCAAGCTTCTATGTAAGTAAAATAACTGATATCCAAATAATCTTAAATTTTAGATAAAGTATCAATTACTTTTCCGAAACCATTTATTTAGTATAATCATAATTTCCACAATAATAATAGAGTAGAATAATGAGTAAAGATGTAATAGGAATTCATTTTAATATAAATGCACTCAAAAGTGGATCTTTGAAGTTGCAACTATCTATTTTTATAATATATTGATTTGCTTACCCCAAACAATTTTGATAAGAATAATAAAAAGAAAATCTCTAATTATTCCTTAAGAATTTTTAAAAGCAATTATTCTTATAACTTGGATTTTTATTAGTCAAGAAAGTTAAGAATTATTAAGTTAAGCAATGTGTATTATATTACTAAAATAAATTTATATCTGAAAGTAAAGGAATTTTTATATTGAACTCAGATCAATTCAAGCCAATTTAGATATTTATTAGTGGTTATAAGGCCTTTGTATTTTGATGAGATTTTCCAACTGTTTTTTTAATGATTGTGAATATTGATCTCTAATAAATTTTTCAACATACCGAAATTCAAACATGAATTCAATCTAAGAATCCCAACATAGAACTCTAACTGGAGCTACCCTACTTTCAGAGACTTAGATTGGAAATGAGGGCCATCAGGATTTGGAGCCCTTCAAGGAAGGAGAGTTAATTTTCTCAATCCTTTGCTTCTTTTAGAGCAAACTCAGACTTTTCGGCAAAGAATCGATAATGCAAATTCGTAAGGATATACTGATTAGGGGCAATCCCAAGAATTAACTTCTGGACTGCTCTAACACTACCTTATCGTACGTCACATGAGAATAAACCTAATTTTATCCTACTTTCTACAAAATGACGAGTCGAGAAACAAAGAAAATAAAGTGACTATTATTATTTCATTCTATTTTCTTGTTACTCTTGGACAACTTTCTTTCCTTTTGAATCAGGTAAAAAAATTAATTTTAAAGCCAGAGCATTTGAATTTTAATATTGGTGATTAGCACCAATTTTACCTTAAATAGCATTTTTAATGCAATAAATTAAAATATCAATAAAAATCTATTTTAAAAAGTTATTTGAAAATATCTTGAGCAAAAATTCCAATTGATTCTTAATATCTTCTTAAACTAATTAATCCGTAACCTATATGCCAAAGCTCAATAAACTATTATCATATCATTAGATGCCATATCATTTTTTTTTTTAATTAATAACACAACTTTATTCAATCTCTAATATAAATTTAAACTGTTTCTAAACCTTGAGAAATTTAGTTAATTTCTAATTGAAACCTAAAAGCTCATCATCGCTATTGTACTAGGAACAGTGATTTTTACTGTTTTGTTTAATTACATTAACATAGTATGATTCATTTGATACTCGGCTATATCATATGACTAAAGTAAAAATTCTTCTTAAACAGCAAATTGATTCTTGGTCATTAGGTTCAGTAAAATCTACCTGTCAACGTTTTGGGAAATTTCAAAAAATGGTTTACCATATATATTCAAGAAGTAAACTCCATAAGCATTGATGTAGTGAAAAACTTTTTATTAACCAAATAGAGGGCTGCACAAATTGATGAAGGATTTCAATAATGAACTTCATTTTAGATTCCTCCGTATGTGATACACTCCAGCTGATTATATACAGGATTAGGAGTTATGTGAATTAAAAGCAAACATTATTTCCTTTCTAATATCAAGCACTTTATGATGCTCAAGTTATTTATTTGCTTTATTATTTAAAGGTTGCTGGCTTGTCAAGCTTAGTCTCAGTATTGTAGGACAACTTCTTTTGTATTTTTGCAGATATCCTAGGAAAGCAATTAAGGTATTAACAGATGAATGGTGTTACAATGATATTTAGTTATTACTTAATTGAAAACCTTATTCTTTACATTCAAAAGAACTAACTTGAAATTTTCAGTCTTTGCATTCAATCAAAGTTAAAAAGCTATAAAATAAAATTCCCATAGCAGTTTTGCTTCACATTACAGGTGTTTTGAGTTTGAATGCTCCCCAAGTATTCAAATAATAGGTTCCCTACCCACCTATTTGTATAATTTTTGATATGAAATGAAATCAGATGCTGAGAGATAATCAGAGCAAGAGCATTAAGCTCTAGTCAATATATTTTAGGTTGCTTAAACTCTAAACACAGCATCAAGTTTGGATGAACTTGCATATAATCAAGAGAGAAAAGTGGGCAATATTCTTAAAAATTGTGCTGATTCAAAATAGTTAATTTTGTACTGCCATTCCAAAATTATTTGTTAAATTGAAAAACATATTTATAATTTATATAATTCATATCTGATTTATTACAGCAGTTTTAATAATTTTTTGAAATTATGATATTCGAATAATGTCAGAAGGCTTTAATTATTTATCATAAAATACAATAGACATTAT